ATATTCTCTATTACCACTAATATCTGGTCCATAGTTCCAATACTAGTTCCAATGTTGCCTATAATATAATTCGTAGCGTCGTCGATCGCTTTGTGGAAGTACGCGTTTTGCGGTTTCATTGCTTTTGTGAGAAAGGCTTCGAAATCAATAGGAGAAGGTTTCGAAAGTTGTTGAAAGATAAAATAAGCGAAAGAGAGGAGATCCGCTTGAAATGCATCTCTTGTCGGTGGTGCCGATGGAGTGGCGGAAGTGTTGATGGAATGCGGATTGGTCTGGCAGATCAACTGAATAAGCTGCTTCGTTGTGGTATTGATCATGCGAGCGTATTAATGCTTCGAATCAATCAGTTCCTATAGTTTGCATACTAGATTCAGAATCTTCGGATTCATTGTTGATAGAGTAAGGAGACTCTAAATGATGTGATAGTGAGGTATCAGCTTATCAGTGGGTAAGGTCTACGGGAGCGGAGCTAGGGAGAGGTTTTGATCGGAGGTTGTACAAATGGTTATATCGGGGGAGCGGGTGTGGAAGGCAATAGGCATTCGGCGAGCGGGCTAGCGATAGGAAGCTTCGCAGGAGCGATCAAGAGCTTAAAAAATTTATATGATCTTAGTATAATATGACAATTGCATCATTTAGAATACTAAGGTGAAGAGCTAGAAGAGCTCTTCGGAAGGAAGTGGTAATATACAGGATTGTGGATCACGTGAGGACCTAGCCGATCCACTAATATGACAGGATCGTCACAATATACCTATAGTAGACCTACGAGATTGATTATATAAAACTATATGTACTTCAATATCTGTCTTTGATATTAATACTTTTCAAATACATAATACCATATATAGCTTTCATATATCCATCTAGTGGATTTTTGCAAACTGTTTAATCGTGAATATATTGAAATCATTATAAAAGACCTCAACAAGCTTGTCATTGTTGATGTCCTCATAATCGTATTGTTTGCGTTTGAATTTGATGTATTTAGTAAACTTTCTAGTATCAAACACAACATTCTTATTATTAGCCTATTATTCCTTTAATAGGCTTAACCACTCTTTGCAGTGTTCCTCTTCCTCCTCCATATATAAATCCTTGTTGACAACCTTAAGGGCAGTCAAGTTGATAGCGTTGTCACTATCCGATATAATAGTATATGAAAGTAGGTATTTCGGAAGTTGTAGATATTTCGAAGGTTATAGGTATAAATATAAATATTTTTGAAAGGGTGAAAGGGTATTTATAAAGGTATTTAGATAAAGATTTGTGGGTTACTCTGTACAGTATACAGTACAAAGACTAATGCGTAATGAATGCAAGCTCGATTTATTACAATTAACAAGATCAACCTCTTGAATATATCTTCCTGATACAATTATCCGGAGCACATTTTTTAGCACAACAAAGAGATAGTATACTGTACCAAGTACAATAATATCTTCTTTGTAGTTTCTTCAGAATTTCTATTAATTTTAAAAACCACCTCAAAACACTTAATGCTTTGTAGTAGAATCCAAGGCCCTAATTTGTGATATCACTAATTAGTGTTGGTATCAACTTAATGTTGATTAAAGTGTAAAGTACTTCAGTCTTATCAATATGATTGATTGTATTATTCGTCTTGATCATTATTAACTATGGGAAGCTAGTATTTAATATAGTAGAAGTGCTAGCGCTAGTGCATACGCTAGTACATACGCTAGTGCAATACAGTGCCCTCTTAGATCACATGATCGATATCCCGACAGTTATGCACCAAATTCTAATTATCGTCTGTTCAGACTAGGCTTTACAGATTTCAGAAAGTTGACTTACAGATTATACACTTTGATGACAACACTTATTTGTGTGTGAACTTCTCCGTCGTTCTATTGCGTTGGAACGTTTTCTGGAATGTAAAAATGTGGTGGTGAAGGACTTTACTTGACAAAAATCGGCATCTTGTAACCTCATCTTAGTTCCTCATAATCTAACCACTTTACATATTTTTGCATCCAAATAATTCCGCACCTTTCCAAGATCTGTGAAGATTGTTAAGAAGTCAGGTTTTTGTTGAAAATCCTGCACATCCCAAATTTGGAAGGCGCATTTTTCATTCCTGCCTGCCCCTTTTCGCCTCCCCAACCTCCTATTTCTTACCCGATTTTTATCATGTATCCATATAAATTTAAAGAGAACACGTATTCTTGTACATTCTTTCCTACACTTTCAAAAGCTAGTAGGTATAGTCATTACACTTGCAATCGTACCTTCTCATTCTTGAAAGTCACCACGATCCCGAGAAATATCGTTCGCACTCAAGTAACCTTATCTTGAGACCATATTAGACATGGACAGCGCTACATCCATCACATATCCAAATCATAGTAACAGCTCAATTTCCGGTCTTGTTTTCTGCGTATCAGGGGCAGTGTTAGTATTCATATTGATATTCGTCTGCTGTGGATACGGGTGTCTCAAGAAGAGGAAACTAGAGGCTCAGATCAGTAGAGAAGAGAAAGCACAAGCTAGAGCACGGCGACTGGAGCAATTTGCCATGATCAAGGTACCGCCAAACGCTTATTTGTCAAAACCTTGATGTAACTTCATGGGCAAGGAGGAAAGAGTTTTGGAGTTATAACTATGGAGGAAAAGGGGATTGTTTCATGGAAGATCAGAAAAAGAGAGTTTTTGGCTCCTCGCTAATGAATTACCCACATCATACGACTTCACCGATTCTTCGAGTGAATATACGACATCAGGCTACACAGGTACAAGTGTTATACTAGATCGACTTCTACTACGATCTCTCTACCTTTGAGATTTCAGTCGCATCCTGAAATCGTAATGGTTTGCAAGATCTACACCCGCACCAGCATCATTGTACCTGAATCATAACTCCCGAACGCAAATCGAGATCTGGAAAGCTTAAATAAAGCTTGTAAAGCTCTTCACATCATTGCAATCATACTCTTCGAATCCTCGGATATGCAGTTGATAATCCTCTCGTCATATGGTGGTTGGAAACGCTGCTGGATGACTTCTACCCCACTAATCGCCAGCCCCGGATTCAGCTAGTCCGCTGTGTTTTCGACATGATTTTGTTAGCTGTAGGTTTTTCACCGCTTGCTGTGGGTTACATTTTCGGTTTTGTTTCTTGGGCAATTACGGCTATCATTGCGTTTCCTCTTTTCATAACAGTCGTGGGTATGATGCTCGTCTCAGAAGCCATTGCTCTTTCTTGGCAAATGTCTATCGCATAATCACGCGTTGGACTTCAGGAATCTGGCGCAGAATTTGGGCAACCGCGAAAAATTTGACAGCAGATCAACTACCTACAATCAACACTCCACTCGTCAATCCTACTCCAAAACAATCTCCAGTATCCAGTCTGAATCCGACCACCTTCACCGAAACTAAGAACGACGAAAGAGGGTTCGCACTTCACAGTAATCCTGTGACAACAATGAAATACATTCCTTCTGGCCCAGCCCCGGTATTTCCTTCTCCATGCGCTGAAATCAGAGGCCGCTCTAGAGAGATAGATCCGCACGTTATAGTCTTTTCTCCTCCCCCTCCTCCGTATAGCTAAATCGTACTCGCGCTCGAATTTTTCGAAGCCTATGATTAGTATATGGATTTCCTGAGCTGATTCAGGAACAGGATAAATTTGGCTCGCATGATATATTTCGCTGTGCGACCTTGATATACCTATGCTACGTTGATTTTTGGGATGGAAACGGATGGGAGGGGGAAAAACTTGACAAACAGAGACTTGGAGACTCATAGGATTCAATGTGCAGGAGCATGATTTTCGATACTAGGAACTTCCACAATAAAGATTCTACATCTCTTCTCACTCAAAGCTCCAAAATCGGTTCAAGTGATGATTGCTTGCTTGACTTTGATGATTCATCATGAGTAATATCTCAATGTGAATCATCGTTCATAACTGTAACAACCATCATCGGGTCACTCCACCCAAATGTATTTATTGCTAGAGACGATTCATACACAACATTTTTTTGAATTTCAAAAGTTCGCTGAAGATTGTGAGTAAGTTGCATTAATGTTTTGTGTCTGAAAAACTTTCCATTCAGAATACGTCTTCTACATCTACATTTTCTTACACTTATTATCTAAGCTTAAATCATATTACCACATGCCAGTAAGCCTTTATCCAAATATCAAAACGCTTTCCGGTAACATTCCCACGATTGTTACGTTCGCAGTCTTCAACTTCCACTCCCACTCCAACTCCCACTCTCACCAAACCAAACCACCAGTCTCCAACCTTGAAAATTCCACCCTCTTTCTACCATCAACAAAATCTCCACCTTCCACCCCACCCCCACTCTCCAAACATGGATCCCGCCATCCCAATCATGGGCTACATTCTCCTCTCCATCTTCCTCATTCTCCTCTTCCTCATCATCAGTTTCTACCTCATCTGTAAATATCAAACACACACCGAAACGCAAACGCACGCACAGTTATCTCCTCAAGCTCAAGGAATCAATGAGTTAGAAGCGAGGACCAGAATTCCTCTCCGGAGAGGCGGGATTGGAAGGTGAGGGAAGGGATTGAGAGGTGTGTTGCCGCTTAGAAGAGGAGGGGTGGGGTATTGTGAGGTTGGGGGGAGAGGGGAAGGGGATGGGGATGGGGATGTTGTTGGGGGAGTAGACGGGGGAGAGAGAATTAATAGTAATGATGAGGGGAATGGATACGATGAGGTAGATGTGGTAGATGGAGAGGTGGACATACTTGAGGCGCCGCCGCCTTATACTGGGCGGGGGGAGGTGTGAAGGTTAGATTGTGGATGGGGGCTTGAGACGGGATTGGGGAGATACGTGTTGATGGATGGTGTTGTAGAATTCGAGTGTATATGTTAAGGAAACGCTGAGAGGAGATTTGTGGGAAAACGATGGAGTCAATGATGATCTAATCCACAAACTGCATTGGTGGAAAGCTATTCAGACAATGAAGATGGCGTTTTATCGGGCACGAGAAATCTATTGGATATCAATGATTCATGATTCCTTTCAATTGCTAAACAATATAACCATAAGAAAGTAATAAAACCCCTTCCTTCAAACCCAGGTATCAAATCATGAAACTATCTTCCAAATCCCTTTCCTAAAGCCTTGTCCCGCTTATATCCCGACTCCCAAGATTTCCTGTAGAAAGAAAAAGATAATGATACCTATGCAAATACATGAATATATAAAATCCCTCCCATTCGTAATCCATAAATATTCCGATTTTCTTTTCTCCTTTCTTTCTTTTCCAAATACTAACTTACAAGATGTGTTACATTATCACAGCGTGACATCAACATGGATATCAAATAAGTCTGCGAGCAAAAGATCTCAGAATCTTCCCCAAATGACCCCTTTCTCACTTTCTCTCTTCTGTCCCGGACTCCTCATTGAATCTCTCACAATTTCCACTTTCTTACCCGGGGTCTGAGCTCCTTCTCTCAACGCCGGTATCGCCGCAACAGGCTGCGCCACCGGCGAAGGAGGCTCAATCACCACGCCCAAACCGCTTCCTCTCTGCACCCAAGGCAATCTACTCGAATCCAAGTATTTTTCAAATTCCCAGGTCCCCCCCGTTCCAACCCCATCGGTCGGAGTATCCATTCCCATCGTAGTGTTCGTAAAGTGTGATTCCCTCCCACGACTATTGTTCGTCGTCACAGTATCATTTCCCATCCCGGGATGACTATGACCGCCGCTTCGTTCCCGATATGCTTCTGCTTCTTTGTCCATTCGATTCATGCGTTCCATGCCACTGTCTCGATTCATGCCCATATTCATGATACTTCCACTCCCACGGATTTCACGATCGTTATCCATCCATGGTTTTGGTTTTTCGGGATTAGATGTGATGAGAGCGGCATCGCTTGCAAAACTAAGTGCGCTTAAAGCAGGACTACTTGCACGGCTATCCATGTCCATTTCCTCTAGTTCTTCATCCATCTCATCCATTTCGGCCCAGCATAAAGCATCGCTACCACCACTCAATTCATATATCTCTTGAGCCTTTTCTTTTCTCTTCTTCTTACGCTCTTTACGACGTGTAGAAAGACTTGCGAGATGGAATGCGGGTTTTGGTTCAGCGGGGACCAAATTGAGGTTTTTGTTAAAGATAGTATCCGCTGCATTGCTATGGCTGGGGTTTCGGGAGATAGAAACACCGGAGTTGTTATATTGAGGGTTGAGTGTGAGATTGGGGCTTCCAATGGCTTTACCAATGTTTAGAGACACCAATGAGCGATTGGATGGTGTTAAAAGAACAGAATTAGTGCCCTTGTCGAAGAAACTTAGCTCCGAAGGCGCATTAGAGACGTGTTTAGATTTTTTGTCCGCTTTGTCTTTGCTAGATATGAAGGGAAGAGGCAAAGGAGAAGAGGGAGCAGATCGGAACGATTCTTTCTTCGAGAGACTTCGAGAAGTTGATGCGAAGGTGGAAACGGTGTTGGACCGTCCAGGAGTTTGTTTGCGTTGATGTACACGGCGAAGAATGAAAATTGTCAGACAAAGGGTTAAAGCTATTGAAGCAAGAATTGCGAGTACAATGGCTGCTATGGCAGGAGCCGAAATCTTTGATTTTGAAGAGGAAGGTAATGGTGCGGGGTTGTTAAGGGGAAAGATTGGCGTTGGATTTGAGGTGGGATAGAATGTGGTCCAATTGCGTTGATGAATGGAAAATTGGGAACGTTCGTAGTCAGCAATCAGGTATGCCTCTTGGAGAAATGCTCGTCCAAGTGTGATTTGTGAATTATCGGCTGCTCGTTTGAGTGGGAAATAACGAGTACTGTTTTGTACAAGAGGATATTCGGCCCACCAATCGAAAGCAGCATATGGGAGTGTGATATTTACCATGGCTTTGGACGTCGAATTTGTGAGAGTAAATACAACAGAGGCATTTCGGTTGACAAGTGCAGTGTGTTGAGCATCAGTCAGTAAATACAGTTCTGATTCTGAATCATAGGTAATACCAATAGCTTCTTCGAACTTTTGGCATATACTTGTTGGTAGATATAGGTATGGGACCGATGAGTCAATGAAAGCTGGAAAAGAGGATGATGGCGATGATACGACTTGCGACGTCCCGCTCGGTGATTTAATCGTGATTGCATTGACATCAATCGTTAAGTCATCGCCAGAAGTGGCAAAATCGACAGTAAGATTGTTTGGTACAAAGAGAGATTCTTCATAACCACCTAAAGTAAGATTGCCTAAGACTCCTCCACCATTGGCTCCCCCACCATTACGATAATAAGCACCTGCAGTGTAACCATATGATAATGATGGGATATGGCCTTGAGACTTGAGATTGGACATATAACTTGGGACAGCTTCAGTTTTGCTCGAGAAATTTGTAGGTGCCGGATTAAGACCAAAAAGACCCAGCCAAAAGTCGTGAGTGGCGATCGTTGCGAGCACTTGTGAGCTTAAGGAGGGAGATCCACTGCCCGGGGATCCCAACACGATGGTATCGTTGCCATAGTCTCCATTGCCAGTAAGGCCTAGACTTGACTCAACTTCCAAAGCAAATTCACCTTCGGGATTAATGGTGTTTGGTACCCTAACTCTTGTTAATGCCATGATTATACAAAGTATCTTATGCGATCCACGTACCATGTGGTAGACGAGTTTGAATTAAAATTCAAACCTCTCGAGCTATAACATGTTCCTGGGTCTGATGAAGTACAGCCATCCGGTGATACGACCCAAGGTTGGTTACTTGCTGTTGATATGAAGACCAAGATAGGTTGAGGAGGTGTTCCCACTGTAAGCCAGAAACTTGACCAATTCCCGTCAATACCATTCCTAATGACATCGTTAATAAGTGATGTACTTAGATAGACGCTTGAGGATCGACAAAAACTTACCAATTACCACTTGGAAGGACAGTGAGAGGAGGGACAGGGGTTGACGAAGTTGATGAAGTTGCTGAAGCCAAAGTCTGCTCAGGAAGGCCGAGGATAGGCAATAGGGCGAAGACCAGATACCTCCAAGAAGACATCAGCATTGGAAAATATCATTAAGGAGAGTTTCATAAGATCAATAATTGTTGAAAAGACAGAACATGCTGGCTATGATACAATAGCTGGTAAGGAGAGACAAGAAAAAGAAAAGAGAACAGACGAAAACAGGTTCAAACGGCACGAACGAGGTGTAACTTGAACACAAATTTCCGACAAGATCTGCATCAAGACGGGAAAGTCTAAAAGAAATGTAGTGTACGTAGGAAAGGTCGAGAACTTGGAGGATTCAAAAAACGTGCTGTGCGTACCGGGCACCTATATGATACTACCATACTATCATTTCGTGTGTCAGATAATTGCAACTGCCAGGATCTGCGGATGGATAGGAGGAGGAAAGAACAGCTTCTATCAAATTTGCCTAGAGCTTAGAATGGTGCTACACACCGAGAGGGGCGAGATTGGACAGTTAGCATAATTAATGAGAAGGATTCATCTTCGGCTTTGTCATGAACTATATGTGGTATATGACTGACCAATCTTCAATCACCATTTTGTAGAAGCGGGAGATTCATAAGACAATAGGTCCACCAGTCTGTATAACCTTGGGGCCGAAATCTATCCTCGCTTGGTAGATGAATGACGAAAACAAAAGGTACCGTACTGGTAAGATCTCTATGAAGCTTTTGTGTAGCGCTGTGTAGCTATGACAAGGGAGCTTGAGGGTAATTCCGAGGTCCCCATACTGTACTCTATTATAAGTCTATCAGGAATCCCGAGAATTGTAGGAAAATGATTTCAGTTGCGTATTTGAAACATAAACCTGGGGTAAAACGAGGCTCTCTCTCATAACACGGCCACCGAGGTAATTGATTTTTGATCCATTAAATCTGGATTCCAAATCCTCAGTGAAGCTCTCAAGTTATCAATTGCAAAATAATGCGATACTGTATTGCAATTCAAAGTTAGGTAGTATTTCCCACCCTGGCATTTCCGCTTCTTTTTGGTCAAAAGAAACCAAGGGGTTGATTCTTCAAATCCGCGACGATGTAACGATATCTTCGTGTCATTTGATTTCCACATAAAACCAAGGACCCCTGTTTCCAAAGGATTGGATTAATCGAGGTTGAATCCTTACGAAAACGTGGAATAGGGATGATGATGAGTGAGAATGTCAGACGGTTAGTTTTTTTTTTTGGTGGTAATTGAGATTTGAAAAAGATGGAAGGGTTTCTTGACATGTGGATTGTTACTTTGAAATGGAAAGGAGTTGTCGGATTCGGAGACGCGGTAGAAGCTGTCTACTTGTCTCTTATAATATTTGATTGTGCTTTTGGGTGACCATGGTTGCGAAATTTACGATATTATAATAGATATTAACAAGAGCTCTGGTATGATATATATTATTATGATATTGGTATCGTGTCGTGAGGTCTCAAGAAATCCCAAACTTAAGTAATCATACGCTAGAGACTTAGTGGCTAAAGATTTCTCATAAGCGGCAGCACACTCGAGACACTCCATTACGAGACTGCCTCGAGACTACCCACCACCACCACTACCACCGCCATCATCATCATCATCATCACCATCGCAAAGAGCCCCCAAAGAGGCCATTCTCCAATTTATTCGAGTCTCCTATGCGGCTACTCGTTCATACATGCACGTTGCAGGCAGCCGTATTTGATTTTTGGTTCTATAAGCCATCTTCTATTGTAACCTCCGGTGATTCCCAGTTTTCTCACACATGTTTGGGCAATGTGATACGAGGAGGTACACCCGTACAGTAGATATCGTGCTGGGAAAAAACCCCCTTCCTCACGTCACTTCCAGCAGTGTTTGGACTTCTGGAAATGATGAGTTTGTTATACATTTCCAGATTTGCCACCTGAGCCTTACATTACTGATCCTCTCACTGTGCTGCTAATCTAACAAATCACATTATCGCACGAAGGTACCTGTTTAAGTGTGTCTACCAGATCTCTAGAAATTCCGTCTTACTTCAAGGTTTCTGGTGATATGGAGCGATGTCACCTCAGAATATCTCCGCCTCCAAAAATATCCTGAGAAAGAGAGCGAGAGAGGAAGAGAGAAGAATGCGCAGCCAGCATACTGCATCGCACCCATACATACTATAACTCACACCCACACCCACACTCACAGTGCACCCACACCTCACTATTACTCCAGGTTGGTCGAAAACGGTTTCTATCGTTATCTGTGGGTGCCTCGGGTGCTTCGTTGTTTCCCCTTACGCAGTGTACCTTTTTCTGCAGGGGGCCACATCTATTATATTGAACCTTTGAAGTGTCCACTAAGATTACTGTATTTTATTTCATCCGAGTCTTATTCATCCCATCACAAACTGGAGACTGGCACAGCCCGCTTTCGTGGACCTTCCTTGATCTTTTTTGATCCTTCAACCTACCGCTCCTTCCATTCATTGTTTACGAATAATGGAGGCTCTATATTTGGCCCACGCATATTGCTTACGATGGATTTAAGTTGCCGATGGAGCAACTCACTCTATTTACGATGCAGGCCCATTAGTATCAGGCACAGCATCGACTCTTGCATCAGCAAATAATTTGATGAAGATCTCGCTGATCAGCCTCCCATTCCATCGCGAAGGGGAAAACCACCCTTGTAATTTTGGGATGGGGATCTAAATTGTTACTTTCTCAACTACCAAGTGACTTCACTTACAAACCCAACTGTTAACATATGTTCCAAATTTCATCATGAGATTGTTTCGTGATGCAGGCTTGTGGGTGAGCAATATCCTACCTAGGTACTCAGCCCCAGGGTTTCATTCTTTCAAGAAGAATATAGGAACCTCCTCCTCTTACAATTCTGTTCTTTTCCTCCTTCTCTCGTCGTTTATCTCTTTTAATTCTATGTTCTCATAAGACTTTATCAATGGGTTGATGCCCGGCGTATTGTCCGTTTTCACTATGAAAGTTTTGCCAGTTCTTCTTCTAGGCACCCTGTCTCTTCTAGATCAAGTAACCGCTTCTTCTAAACTAGACCAAGGTAAGACTAGTCAATATTGATTTGTGGGATTGGGTTCATCTTGTGGCGTTAAGTGTTACATCTGCTGATATGTTTCTTTCCTCCTAGATGATGTAGCTCGAAGGTATACTAATGGAACCTCATCGTCGCATACAACTTCTTCTACCATATTATCAAAAGGGTCTCCGACCACCACACTCATTTCATCTAGCACATTGTCTATCTCTTGTACGGCAACAGTCACTTCAACAAGTGGCCAGCCCTTAATAGCTGCAAGAGAAGCTTGTTCTACCACTGTCACTATCGTACATACACCCACATCACTTTCACATACTAATATAGCTGTCGTTGAGGCATCTACATCTGAAAAGGCTACCGTTGCAACCTCAGCCAAGTCATCCATATTGAAAGAATCGGTACACACTACCATCTCCAACACAGATCTCAAATCGAGTCCTACTAGTTCTCACTTGGCCTCTTTATCACTCCAGTCTTCGAAAGCTTCTGTTGAAGCGTCCAATAAATTCTCAAATACTGCTATTGCTTCTAGTACTACCACTTCAAAGTCAACTGAGCCAATAATTTTAGTGACATCAAAAACACTCAGTAATCCAACCCAGCCTTCAACGGTCTCAACCGCATCCACTGCTTCGCATTCAAGTATAGTTGGTGAACCTTCATTATCAAAGACATCTGGGTTGTCTTCGAAAACACTTTCTTCGACGACTTTATCTGGTGGCACGACAACAACGCAAGCTTTCACACTGACAGTACCGTCAGCTGAATCGACAAAACTCCTTGCATCTTCAAAAACCATCAGCTCATCTGCCTCGTCAGCGCATACTGATATATCAAAGTCTGAGCCTTCATTTATCTCTAGTACATCAAAGTCTACTGATTCTTTATCCTCAAATCTTATTTCTACCACCAAGAGCGAGTCTATCGCATCCAGGACTTCCAATTCTGCTTCATCTACGACTGTGTTCTCTACATCTTCTGGAACAATAGTCTTCCAGCCAACTGTTCCAGCTTCTACTGCTCTAAATTCAAAATCTAGCTCTGATGCTAATTTGGTATCTTCAAGTGGATTATCAGGGACATTGACGTCAAAAACATCCGAATCTTCTCTTCAGTCAACACATGAGTCCAAATCCGAAGCTAGCTTGACCCGATCTTCAATAAATTCTACATCTAGCTCTCTTTCAAGAGCATCTGAGACTTCTATTCAATCGACACGTGATTCGAAATCGGAGATTGGCTCGGAGCCTTCAAGGTATCGTCAAATATCTTGACGTCCAAGACACCTGGGCCTTCCTCTGGTCAAAACAATAACCGAAGCAAATCGGAATTCAGTTTAACATCTTCTGCACAAGTACCTACTACGACTGCAGTCTTAACCCCCGAAACGTCAAGATCGTCTATTCAGACAATACGTGAGAGCAAATCAGAGTCAAGCCTATCCCTCTCGGCAAATTCATCGGTTCTCTCAACTTCTACAAGTTCAAAGACATCTTCTGCTCAATCAACGCAAGAAAGCAAATCAGAAATAAGCAAATCCGCTTCATCGGCTTCATCAGTTCTAGGCCTCTCAACCTCAAAAGCTTCTGGGGTACCGACTCAAACTCAAAATCAATCGACCAAAGAATTACGATCCAGTTCTTCTACTACTGTAACTCAACCAACTGTAGTATCGTCAAAGACTAAAACTCAGATTACTCCAACCACTCAAGAGTCATCTTCGGGAAAGCAGTCGAGTACCACATCTCACAGCTCGAGTGTACAGTCACTCTCTTCGTCTGGAATTAAGCAGTCACAGACTACATCTCATAGCTCGAGTGTGCAAGGACAATCTTCTTCTGTAATCAAGCAATCAGATACTAAATCTCATAGCTCGGTTGTACAAGGACAAAGTAGTACGTCGGAAACAAAGATCACGAGCAAAACTGCCGAGACTTCTGCTACAGGAAAACCGGAAACTACTTCTCAAAGTACAAAGCTTGCAAGTACCACTGAGAAGTTAAGCACCTCTACACGAGTACTTGAAACTGCTACAACAAGTGTCAAATCATCAGTCAGTAAGACTCCAAAGCATAGCAGTTCAGTAGAGGGTGTATCTACATCGATTAAAACCTCAGAAGTCCATTCAAGTAGCACTGCCTCCTCCAATCGATCAGAAAAGACTGAGACTACAAAAACAACTGAAAGGGCTTCTCATATATCCTCTTCATTACCCAGTAAGACTACAGGTGATAGTTCTTCTACTGCCAGTGAAAACCCCAAGACCTCGAACTCGTCTCTCTCGTCTATCAAATCATTATCTGATAAGCAATCGACGACTTCTCATACAACAAAGTTTTCAACTTCAGAGATTATTTCTAAGACAGGGACGGCAAAAGAAGTAACAGAACCTACTACATTACCTACAAGTAAGGTTCAGATTTCGAGCCAAAGTACTAAATCAGAATCATCAAAGTCACATTCCTCAAAGACATCTGCGTCGTCACAAGGGGAATCAAGCACGAAAACCACTTCTACTCAAACTTCTTTCTCTAAACCATCATCAACAGAAATGAATACGAGTGTTATTTCAGGTTGTACGGCAACCCTCTCGGTTGTTGGTCAAGTCTTACCAGTATGCCCACATACTATCACCCTTGATTCATTCTTTTCCACTTCGAAGACACCGGGCTCTGTCTCGCCTACTAGTATTATAGTCTCGACGAGTGTTTCTGCCACTTCAAAATCGGCTGAAACTACTAGTAAGACATCTGATAGTAATTCTGCCACTTTTAATCCAGCTACTTCCAGCTCAGCTACTTCCAATCCAGCTACTTCCAATCCAGCTACTTCCAATCCAGCTACTTCCAATCCAGCTACTTCCAATCCAGCTACTTCCAATCCAGCTACTTCCAATCCAGTCAGCAAATCGCCAGATGCCCCTACTTCAGTTTCTCAAACCAGTATACAAACAACCAACCCGGTTAGCAAGTCTCAGGATACATCTACATCGATTCCTGCCACCAGTAATCCAATAAACCCTGTATCTGTGCCAGGGAGCAAGCCGGCTGATACTACAGCCAATATACCACCATCAGGATCTACGGTTCCTGGATCCATTGCAGTTCCTACTACTTCTAATCCAGCTACGAGCAAATCACCTGATGCTCCTACTTCAAATCCGGCAACCACTAAATTGCCCGATGCTCCTACCTTGGCCTTAGCAAGTAGCACACCGATCGTACCGGCTACGACGAAGCCATCTAACTCTCCTACTACTAATGCAGGAACCACGAAGTCACCTGATGCAACCACTTCAAATCCAACAACTACAAAGTTACCCAACTCACCTGTTTCACCTACCACTAGTCCTGTGACTTCAAACACTAGTAATGGCGGAGGAGATATTTCAAATATTGCCCCAACAACATCGCCAACTACTAAAGCTCAGACTGAAACTGCCAAGGCGATCTCAACTCCACAAGCAACTTCAAATCCCGTATCTGTACCCGGAACAAAACCAACTGATATTGCGACCAATGTGGCACCAACAGGATCAACAGTCTCTCCATCAATTGCATCACCGCCTCTATCTAATCCAGCTGGAACAACGAGCAATGTACCGCTACCAGGGACAACAAGTAATGTATCACCACCTGTTACAACAAATCCAGTATCTATTCCTGAAACTAAGCCAGCTGATAATACTACAAACACATCACCGCTAGTATCTACAGTTCCTGGATCGACGGCAATTCCACCTGTGTCTACAAACCCTGTATCTGTTCCTGGAACAAAGCCAGTAGATACAGCTCCAATAAGCAATCCAACTAACACTGCAACTGGAAGTCTTGCATCTCCACCTTCATCTACTGGATCTACTGGAACTACTACTCCTGCTATTGGAATTCCAGTTGGACTACCTAGTGACAAAAGTACAGCTCTTCCAACCACTGGAACGAATGATATAATCGGTACCCAACCCGTAGCTAGTAATCCTGGAATCCAAACCGGCGGCACAGGAAAATCACCCTTAGCATCCGACACCGCTTCCATTATTTCCAGCATCCAAGTATCACCCACCGGCGTAAAGACCAATCCCGATGTGACCACTGCAATTTCCAGCCCGACTATGAATCCCACAACTATCAAGCCTTCACCTGGCCAAACCACTATCGCTCCCGTTGTATTCAATTCCCTGACTCTCAGTCAAGGAAGTTCCAACTTCGTAGTCGGTTCACAAACGATAAAACCCGGTTCCGAAGCCACGGTAAGTGGTGAACGTATCTCCATTGCTCCATCCGGCTCTGCAGTCATCATCAATGGCGTAACCACAAGCACTACGTCCACGTCCACTCCGTCCAATGCTGCCAAGGTCGTTCTGTCAACCACCACTGAAACCCTCCCTGGTGTCGTTGTCGTCGGAACATCTAGTGTAACAGCCGATTTCACTAAATCCGGCTTCGTCATCGGAAGCGCCACTTTGACTCCTGGAGGTGCAATTACGCAGGGAAGTACTATTATTACTCTTCCTCCCAGTAGTACTACCTCTCTTCCTTCAAACGTCGTGGTAATTGGATCTTCGACCTTTACTAAAAATTCCGCCTCTGGAGTTGTAATCGGTAGTCAAACCCTGAAACCTGGCTCCGTTATTACAGTCGATGGATCTACGGTTTCATTATCACCTACTGGAAATGCGGTGGTAGTCAATGCAAATAGTGGGTTTGTAACAAGTACTGCTTCTTTGCAAAGTGTAGTTCCGTTGAACAGCTTGGTCATTGGGGGACAAACGCTTACGGCTGGAGGAACAGTGACGGAGGGTGGAGATATATTGAGTTTGGCTGCGGGAGGAACAGGGATTGTGGTCGTAGGGACTATGACTGTGGGTGCTGGAGGTGCAACAGAGACGGCGAAGAAGAAGAGTGCAGGTGTGAGGATGAGTCTCGGTGGGTGGGGATTACTGTATTTACAGGTTTCTTTTGTGCTTTTGGGGTTGTTGATGTGAACGGGCTTGTAAAGTGGTGGTCATTCAAAATATTTCATCTTGCGACGGTTGGAGGTTTGGGGAAAGGAGAAGAGGTGGTCATTTTTATATTTCTATATTGGAGAGGAGGGTTTGTAGCTACAAAACAGGATAATGTGATCATACTATAGCATTCAGCGAACGAGCGAAAAGTTTTGGATTGTCTGGAGTGGAGGGTGTGTGTGGATTTTTTTTCTTTCTTTACTTTCTTTACTTTCTTTTGTTTTTTTGTACTATTACTATCGTATACCTAAGTATCCAAAGTCTTTGTATCTACGATCGATATCTGTTCATGGAAATGAGGAATGGGGGGGGGGGGGTGATAAATGGGACGCTATGGATTAGATTGTAGGGGGGGGGGACGCTGTTGTGGATTAGATGGTAGGATAGTCATGTAGGGGTAAATATGTTGAATAATGATATAATGACACCATATCCATTTTATATATGCTCAAAGGCTTCAAGTACACCAATTCAATAATTCCACTTTCTAATCGTCCTACTCAGAACGATCGTCATAATCATCATCAAAAACACACATATACGTAAAATTACACATCTAACTCTATCCGTATCAGTAAAGAGTAAAGAGCGATGAATTCGCCCTTACATATCTAACCTAGTAAAAAAATATGACAGCATGACAACAAGCACATAATTCCATAAAAGATTACTAACACAATATAACATAGCATACCAACGCTCAACTCGATATTCCACACCTGAGACGAGGACTTCGCCGGCCAGGGAGGATATTAATAAAGAAGTACGTATATTATTGACTCTTAGGGGAATTAACGAAAAGCGATAGCGAATGATTATTCATACTCGGAACTTTTACATACATCATCTGTGTATATTTCATTTTACAGTCATTTTGCTCCTGTGACTAACTATGTATCATTTCGGGTTAATATGGGTAGAAGATTCATAAGTAATGTAATTACATTTGTCTCTGATCAGCTATGTATAGGCACTGTACTTATTATCTAACGTTGTATCGATGGATTTTCACAAAGGATTGTAATCCCTTCTAACACTATATGTCGTTTATTCCTTCACACTCTAAATCTTACTCTGCAAATAAAATCCGCGGGATGAGAGGAGATGAAACCGAACCCAAGTCGAAAGAAAGTAAAGCTCGCAATGAGAGTAAATGAATTTATTCCTTCTTTACTCTCTTGCTTGCGAGCCCCTCGGTCATACATTGAGCCACATCTTCTAACGTCTTTCCTCTTTTTCTCTTTTCTGTTTTTTCCTCTCCGAGAACTGTTTCATCCACGACAGTTCGGTAAACGTCGGCTATCTCTCCGAAGATACCCTTTCCGCCCTCTCCTTTTCCGTCGGTGGATTCTCCGCCTGAAAATCCTGTTTCCCCGTGACATATTCCGATTTCCTCCATTTCTCTTACCCATCTATAGGCTTTTGGGGGCATCCCTGTGATTCCTCCATTTACTGATTTCCATAACCCAGGTACTCTTTCGCTCATCTCTTTCTCCAATTCTCCCAGGACGCCCAATCTTTGAGCCGATGTGAATGCTTGAATACATAGGCTGTAAACCTTTCGTCTCGTACTAGCGAAACACATTTAAGACCTGATGCCTTGCCAATTTCTTCGCCGAGATAATTGGTATTTCAAAAGATCTGCTAAATGTGCCCAGATACAGGAGCTTTGGAAAGTTCATGAGGTCCGGAGATGGGAATCGAAGGACGGCTCCAAGCATGTTCTAAGTCTGGATCTATAGATGCCGTGGTATTAGGAGTAGTGGTATCGTTTCTAAGTTTAGGTGCACCACCAATGATTCCGCCGTCGATGAATCTGATGGATGGTGATGTGTCACTAATATGAGAAGCGACTGAGCGAGCAGTCGCAGGAGCTATGGCGTTTAGGTCGAGATAATAGAGGGGAGAGGATTTTGGTGGAGATAGTGAGTTAAAGGCGGTAGTAAATCCGAGTTTGCCAGTGATAGTGCATCACGGGTGGAACAATCGAGAGAATTTAGTCCGATTGTGAAATCAGGGATGCATCTGTAGGTAGAAGTTCGATTTTGGATTTTTGAGCGCGATCATGGGTATCTTGGCTGGGTGGAAAGAAGGTTGAGTTCAATGTAGAATAACGATACAGTAATGAAGATTTTCATGAGTACGTATTTGCAATCATCAACTTTGATGTTTGAAGAGGCATATTAGCTCCTCATTCTGCTACTTTTGAAACGGATGATACCATGGCTCATCCATCACGAATTTCCTCCCAATTTCATTCCATACATGATAGTTCACAGTACTTGGGATGTTCATGTCTCAAGCCGAATTGTCTATTCTCTCGAAAGCAGAGCCAGTTCGATGTTGAGTTCCCCATGGGCACTATAACCCCTTTAAACAGTTACTGGATAATATAAGTCATAGAAAATAACACAACCAACCTTCGACCCTCAATATTCGTCACAACTCGATAATTATGGGCAATGAGTAACTTTGCAACACCCATACCCATTTCTCCAATGGAGATGATACCGACAGTAGCAAGCGGTGACATCTTGGAAAGCTTGGTTCAAGAAGAAGAGGGACTGAGTCTGCGAAGTTTGTTATCTAATTGTATGAATTGCAAGTCTGCGATTTCGGAGAAGGATAGAACGGCGGTTAATTGCAGTGCTGCAATGCATGCATGTGAATTATCACATGATCCAAGTGCACAGGACCATTTGTCGAGTCCTCGTCGCGACTCACAAAAGTTGACGTATTGGAGAATCCTTGATGTATTGTGCATTGTATGTGAGAGTTATTCACCTCAAACAAGCCAATATATCAAACAACCCGCCCCTTTTCAGTTTGAATTCGTTCCGATAATTTGACAATGGATCAAAGCCTTGATGAGATTAGTGGTGATCGCCAGGTAAGCCCTGTCAAAACCCGACGCCTCGAACATGTTGTCTCAGCCTTGCAACACGACATAGTACTGATATCTTCAAGCAGCAGAGAAATGGTGGAAATCGAGGCCGACAAGGCCGCAGAAACAATCGCAATGACTACCCTCGTGACGGTGTAAGAAAGGTAAGAATCTCTTCTTGAACTCTCCCACAATTCTCGAGTCTCGAGTTCCGAGTCCTTTCGCTAACATTTCACCGCTCTAGGTGCATACACGTCCTCATTCATCAGATACTTTATTCCTCCCTGAATGTTCTCAGATCGCATCGCTGCTTCAATCAGTGCATGACGCCTCGACGGTTCATGATAGTACGTAAATAGAATATATAGCTAACCCACGCCTCCTCTCCTTTGGCAGCCATATCAAGGAGATGATTCTAGAAACATAGACTCGTAAGTCGCAAACCTCCAAATCAGATCAAGAATCAACTGACAGTATTAGCGAATGGGTTCATGACAAATACGATGATCGAAGTACGCATCAGTTCCATACTTTCCGTTCTTTCTCGACCATCTAGCTCACAAATATCTCAGACGCCCGTTCTTCGAATCGTCCGGAAAGACGCAACTACGAAGAAGACAGACCAGTGTATGCAATATACCTTTTTTCGATCAGTGTTGCATGCTGACACAAAATAGAAACAGCGGAAAGGTTAGGGTCGAGAATGTACACTACGATTTGACGGAAGAAGAGTTGGAGGTATGAGATATGAGAAGGAACTGAAAGGTTTTTGTTATTAAGCATGGTTTTAGGGTCTTTTTGAACGCATTGGTCGTGTTTCATTCTTGAAGCTCGATTACGACCGAGCTGGACGTTCGAATGGAGTCGCTCATGTAACTTATGAGGACCCAAGAGATGCGCAGAGAGCCATTGAGGAGTTTGATGGGGCAAATGCCAATGGTAAAAGCTATATTCATGTTTGATATAACCATTTTAACACTTTCTAGGTCAACCAATTCGTTTGAGGTCCGTTCCGGACGGTCCATCCAGAGGCCGTGGAGGTAGAAATCAATACGAACCATCGAGATCAGGTCGTTCCCTGGCCGACCGCATGACTCTACCTCGTTCTCGTTCTTTATCCCCTCCAATCAGGCATTCTGATGTCAGCAAGCCACCACCTGAGAATGTTGATCGATATGTTCCGGGCGACCGAGGAGACCGACCAGACAGGAGGAGACGTTCGCGCAGTCCTTTGCCACGCCGAGGAAGAGATGGTCGCAGACCTGGTGCAAGGAGAGAAAGAGGAGATCGTAATGCCGGTCGTGGAGGAGAAAGGCCTGCAAGAGAGAGCAGACCAAAGAAAACACAAGAAGAACTCGATGCCGAAATGGATGATTACTTTGGAAATGGATCCAAACAGGAAGAGAATGTCAACGACACTTCGAATGAAGCTCCAGTTGCAGCTCCAGAGCATAATCAAACTGGGGATGATATTGAAATGGTTGAGTAGATTCTTGTTGTGTAACATAAGAGTAGGAGGAAATTCAATTATAGCTATGAATCGCTCGTGGGATAGATTGTTCAGCAAGTATAATGGACTTTCTTTATAGAATGAAAGCAATAAATACATACATGTTTAGTACTACACATGATCGAATGCATCTCATTTTCTTCGCACCTTTGAATCAGGTGAAAATGGTTTCTTGGTTGCTCATTTCTTTTTCCAAGTATTCTCAGCAATCTAAGGAATTCCGCCTTGGTTTAGAATACTCGCCTCCCTATTGAGGCGAGTACTTTTATAATCATTCCTACAATAGCTAGGTAGGTACTCAAATCACATGTGCCTATGCTTCTCATTTATAATCTATTCATTGAGTGTTTCTCCAATTCACCTATCGGAATATCTCCATCCCACATGGTAGTTATAAAATTCACTACATGCTCACTCTATGCATCGGTCGATAACTACCTATCTACCTAGGTAGGTAGGTATATACTCGTATATCCCCTTCATTCACTTCCCTCGTATAAGTCCATTCCCTAGATAGATACAATTTGTAGGCTTATACTTTCCTTGCTCGCTATATTCTTATGTTATATATTATGGGATTGTCTGTTGATAGGTAATCATCATTATCATTCCTGATGGGATGAATGCTACCTAGGTAGGAGGGAATACTTGGTGGTAGATGGATGGTATAATATGAGGGTTTTTTTGGGGGGGGGGGGGGCGTGATATAGGTAGGTATGGGAAATGAGGTAGGTATGGGAAATGAGGTAGTATGGGAAATAAGAAGGAGTGAGATGGAGAAGGAAATTGGGAATGGAAACGGAGAGGGAGAGTGGGTGTAAGAGTGAGAATAGAGGAATAAGTTGGAGGATAGAAGGTTCAATATATGTGGACATATGAAGGCTGGCATACACATCACAAATTATATGTGCACTCACCACATTCTCCTGATTCAATTCTAAAGCTTTCACCACATTTAGACGAGGTTCTACTTTTGACTGTCTAGTATTTTCTTGGTGCTCTGCGGAGATATTGTGTATGCGTGTTGCATTTTTTAGTGTATTGTAATGTACAGGATTCGAGTTTTGATTTTTATGTGCCTGACTATACATTTATTGTGTATGATACACGGTACGTAGCCTCAAATACCGAGTATACCCTCATATAATCTTTGTGGCTTCCTCAACTTATCAACAACCCCCCCCCCCCCCCCTTTCTCACATTCTCGAGGGTCTTGAACTTGCAGGTAATGATTCCACCACATACGAACACCAATCCTCTCACCGCCCCTTAAACCTTCGGCCCCTCACTCCCCTGCCCATACGGAAGTCTAAGTTTCTTCTCCTTAGGAGAATATTTAATCTTCCTCACCTCGACCTCCTTTCTCTCCTTCTTCCCCACAAATTTCGGCCACCTAGTATGCCCGACTCTCGTTTTCCTCATCAAATTGCGTTCCTCTACTTCAGGAAATATCTTCTCGAAAGCTTCATCCATACCGTTTTCCCTCGATAGGAGTCTAGCTTGCAGAATCATATTTTTCATTTCCTTTTCCGCCTCCTCAAAAAGAAAGCGCGCATAACTAAACCCTCCTCTCTGCTTCGCCGCTTCGATTCTCGGATTAATATTACATTTTTCCAGTAGTTCTTTTTGTTCTAATTTTGTTGGAACGCGGCCCGTCGTAACAATAAATCTTGATGTCATTTCGAATAGCGATTCGCAGTTTTTGGAATCGGAGCTGAATCTTCCAAAGAGAGAATTCATTCTCTTTTTGTACTCTTCGGTCTTCCTGGGTGACGTGCCTGGTTGATCACGGTAGATATATGAATACGGCATATCGATTTTCGTATTGATGAGTTCGTATGATTTTGCATTTACTTGTTTTTGCTGAGAAGAGTGGAGGTAGATTCCAGACTCGGATACTGCGCCAAATTCGCCTTTGCGGAAGGTCAGGAAAGGTAAAGTCTCGTTAGAGGAAGTTGAGGAGTCGTGGATTTCATAGCTGGGTATTTTGTCGATTGTACTAGGAACCGCTCCAAATGTAGTTCTACTAGACCAGCTCAGGTCTGTAGCGTCGCGGAGATTTAACTTGGTCTTTTCTGGTTCTTGTGTAAGAAGTCTTTTTCTTGCTACCTTATCATCGACGAGGGAATCCGCGTCAGTGGTTTCAGTCGATCCTGGAATATCCATTGGAGATTCGGGTTCCTTCAGCTTGGAGGGATTGACGGTAAAGAACTGTATGTGATCACCCCGTCGAGCGAGATTGCCTAGCGTCGAATCTTGTGCTTTCTCCATTGATTGATCAGTATATTCAAAGGATGCCGAAACAATGTCTTCGTATGTCATTTGGGGATCCAAGGATAAGAGGCCTTGCTTAGCGCCCCAACCGCCACCGCCGCTCACTGAATAGATTTAGTCAGCTGTATGCTAGATGAAAAATATGACGGATGAAATAATGCAAGTTACTCACCAACTCGACAAAGAATGGCCCCAAGAGCTATTTGGGTACCAACAAATCTTAGATTTTTATCATCATTGCTCCAAGTCGACTCGAGATCTTCTGCGGATTCAAGTGTTGAAGCCTTGAGATTGGGGTTCAGAAGCTCCTTTCGGTATATCAACGCCCACACTCCAATGTTGGTACGCAAATTACTATATTCCATAAATCTTGTGACCTGGGTTTCCAATTCAGACGACGCGGGTCTGTTATCTGTATCCCCTGATCCGAAAGATAGTTGTCGAACAATATTCCCCAGCCCATTTGCAATGGGTCGGGGCAGAGTAAGAGGAACTGCCGGTACAAATATTGGTGGAGTCATGGTATTTTCATAATGAAAAGCTTTGATATGCTGATATTGTTTTTGTTCTCTTTGTATGCATTTGTACTCCCCCTCATTTCTTCGAGTCCATTTAGCTATTTCGAGAGTTGAATGCTTGCCGTTCACAAATAAAGTATTTGCCAAAGGTAGACTTATCGTTGTAGTCAATGCCAATTCCCACGGCTTTTGCGATTTGTTCCCCGAAATTATGAGATGTGACAATTTGTCAGGATTCGTTGCATTATCTTTGAATGATTCGGGGTTCCACACATTATCAGGCCTCAACACTCGACTCCGTAGACCATGCAAGAACGAAAATCCCTCAAGTGGGCCAGCACGCTCCGCTATGGGAATATCATCGGGTGGAGGAGCAAGGCCATCAACTACAGCACCAACGACAACAACGTAGTTTGGCTTGCCATCCACGTGATGATATGTAAAACATTCCAAGACACGCTTGATAAAATCCTCATCTTCAAGCCAATTCGCAAACGCTGGGGTGACTAAGATAACGACTGCTTCCTCGGGTGGATTAGGAGAGGGGTCTGCAAGATATCGAGCTTTTGTCATGCGGGCACGTTTGTAGATGAGTTGAAGAACTTGTTCTTTAGTCTATATGATATGAGTGATGGTGGCATTACAAGAGTACCAATGTAGCTTACAGTGCGCTTGGGATCCGGAGAGATGATGCTAAATTGGCGAGGACTCAGCGAAGAAGGTTTTCGGTTGAGAACCATATTAGGAGTGATTGAACTAGAGCTATCATCTTTGGCTCTCTTATTACGGATTTGTCTCATACGAGTTCGCCCCCCACCTGTGAGGGACGCCTTTTCTGAGCTCTTTTGTAGGTCCGATTGAATATCATCAATCAGGTCTCCGACAACCGTCTCTCCAGAAACAGAGGGATGATATCCGGCGGAAAAAAATACACACCTTACGAGTGTCTGTCGACTTGACCCAACTCGAGATATTTTGAATCCACCTTTGTTGTCTTCTTTCATGACGTCGCCAACTTTGGCAGTGAGAGAGAATGCGCGCTTGGCAATTCCTTGTCGGCGTGGGCAACGACCCACATTATGAATAACTTTACTCGAGATCATTACTCGTCGACACGAGAGATTGAGCATCTGATATCCCATGTCTGGAGAGTCATGAATTTTCTCTGTTGTCTGCTGATCGGGCAAACGAAATGCAAGGAAGTGCAAATCATCGAATCGTGCTTAGTCATTAATTTCACGTGACCAAAAATATAGGCTGTTTGTTACCTTGGTGCTTGAGGCTCACGACGATTTAGATTTAGAACGACCAGTAAAACATAAGGGTGCAATGAACTGCACCTCAATCGATCGTGGTTTTCAAAAATCAACATGTTTCTGTTACTATCTTATTCAATAACCTCACCTAGGTTTTATATTTGCTTATTGTGATTCCAAGACCAAGAGAGGTGATGAATTGTTGAACCGAAATTGGATCTTCATGATAGTCCTGTGCTGATTTGAACAACGGCGAAATATCTCATTATACTGAATAAAAATTTAGTGTAGATGAGGTAACTTTGATTTATCCTTGCATTTCTTCATTAACAGATGACGGATATCATCAAAAGCAAAATGATCGTAATTAACCCAAAGAGAGCCACGCTTCGGTTACCTGCTTGCCTCGATTCCTCCAGATTTTCGTTCAGACCGCTATCTCTACTCCATTCGATGGCGTAAGTATGGCTTCAAAAGAGGCTGTTCATACTCCGTACTGCAGCTTGTGCAGCTGTTCAAGAAACGACGCAGAAAGAGGCTCGACCGCAAGAATCGAGAGTGGCCAATGAGAGATCTGATTGGCGATTTTTGCTGGGGGATCTAAAACGTACTTGACCATAACCAGGATAGCTTGTGAGATGGAGGTGCAGAAAGGCTACACTAATTCCGATTCCAGATTGATGCATGCATGGCGAACAAGAGATGGAGAAATGGTAGGGTAGTTCGGGTAGGGGGTGAGAAGGATGGTGATCAATGATTGATGATAACTGGTCAGTACTTCCAAATTGGCTGTTGGTACAGCAATAATCAAATTTGAATCCCTCCTCGATTTCCCAATTGAGTACAAATAGGTGGGATAATTTGGTGACTATCCTTTACCAAGATTGAGGAGAGAGGGGTTGACAAGACGGAAGGGTATCTAGTTAGTAGTCAGGGAGGACACGGCAGAGTGAACCGACGGTCAGGAATAAACAATCAAATCATATCAATAACCGAGATCCAACGATCTCTATGGTGTGTACTTTTGTTTGGTTGCGGTAAATTAAGTATAATGTAATACGCAGGTCCTTGATGAGCTGGAGATTATCGTGAATTTAAGGTTGGTTTGAGGGAGAGGAGATATTCGTATGCAAGATGGTGAGAGATGCGAGAATTGGTGTCATTTGTCTCATTCAAACACGTCCAAAAGGAACAATTAATATGACATTGATTGGAAAACTTGGGAATCCATGCTTGTCTTCTTCAACCATATCTGATGTTCTTTCGCCTTACGCGGCTGAAGGATTAAGCCTGTCCGTCCTCGAGATTTCATACACACTCTTTAGCGAAAAGATTTTTGCAGGTCCGAATTTCAAATGGGATTGAGTTCCTGGAAAGACCCTTAAAAGTTAAAACTCTAATTAGTGCATAGAATTCGGGTAAAGTCACTGGATCTAGGTAGATAGTTTGTACGGCATATTAGCCTTTTAATCTAATGACTCGGGACTGTCAATTTGTCAAATAATGGTCAATCAGAATAATGAGTAAGATGGCGTGGGTGAGACTTGGAGTACCTAGGTAGGTAAGTGATAGCATCAATGGATGAGTAAAGATACTGCGTACGACAAGCTAATTGCAGATGCTAGACTGGATGCGAGTGCTAATGTGAATCAAAATGTCTAATGCGTTCGATTTATCCGATTCCTTCTTTTCTTGCACAAGACTCACGAGTGATAATGAGACAACTGTGCAGGAGATGCCTAGGTGGATGTCCACTTTTCACAACACTGCAGTAGTCGAAAGATAAGCAGAACAACCGGGAGGAAGTTAAAATGCGATCCAATGATAGCCGAGCGAGAAGAACTCTTATGCACATGGAAATGCATATCTTGCGCACGTCTTACGCATCCATCTTTTTCAAGCAACTGCATAGAATTATTCCTGTCTTCAACATAGAACGGTATCTGCACAATGCAAGTAAGGAAACCTTCCCTCCAAAGCAGTTTAAGCTGGGTGTTGAGATGTTTGGCAGCGCCATCCTCGGTCACACCCCGGAAAAAGTTGGAAAAGCTGGAGAGGTGAAGAGAGACAGAATTGGAATTGAGTACTACTTACTGTATGTGGACTTGCAGTGATACGTTTGGGGAACACTTTACTTGAGGGCATGGAAGGTTACAGAGGTCAGAATTGCAATCACTCGATCAATGTACATACATACATACACCCATTACCTAGGTCCTAGGTTAAGTTGTAGAGAAACTCCAGATCCCAAACACACAACTGTAGCAAATCTCAGCGTCATCATACCTGGTATGTATTGTATGGCAGTTCTTAAGATTTGATAATAATAATGTATTGTCGGAGGTTTATTACGATATGAATAAGATGATACTGGGAACGCAGAGACAAACATTCAGAATTTTTAGTAAGGGTTACCATACCGAGCGTACCTGCTTCCCTCCAGATTACCTAGGGAGCCAGGGTACAATGATTAACTTTTATACAAAAGATATCCAGTGCTCGTGTTTACCCAGGAACCACCTGGATATCAGGAACGACCAGGAACATTTGCTAGGATTAGTCTATTTTTATCATTTTGAAGCTTCGCTAACTCTACCCACGGCTCATTAGAAGGACATCTGAGCACTTTTCCAAGTCCAACCACCCCCGCAAAAGAAAGTAGGTACATCTTCATCTTATCTCTCTTGGAGTCCCATTCATCAGATGAAATCTTGATGGTCAGCTGCCAGCCTGCTACGGTTATGGTGACGGAGTAATAGCTAAAGTTACATTCAATTACCCCATCCGCCAACAATGAGTGCCTTCGCTACTGGTCTAGAGACTTGCATGCGACTGTGACTGGAAGCTTGGTTAAATACCTAGTAGATTATGAAATGTACTGTGAAAATGAATACCATAGAGTACCAGGTATCTTCTTGCATAATCTCCCTTTCTTCACTCACAACTTTGGTAATATTCTTGCAGACAGTTGTTGCCCTACGGAATTGGATTTCGATGTTACCTCGCACACTCATCAGTGTCCATAGGATTTCATCCATAATGGTTTTGATTAGCTGTGTAAATGAGGACAAGATAGAGTGCTCACGGTACAACATGTAACCCATAATGAGGAAGTTAAAAAAGAAAGGACTTTAAAGTGATGATTTCTCCAGGACAACAGGGACAACAGGGCAACGAAGTCTCAGATATACTTCCGATGAAAGCCTCTCACTGCGTCTGGAGAAAGGTTACTACTGGTTGTTACTGTGTACCGCATTCATGGAGCGTCGTGCCGGTATACGTATTGTCTTGTACGTACAGTCTTGCACACTGGTGTGTGTTCTCGATTCGAGATACGAATCTATAAAATGGTTCCTGGGCAAAGCGGGCGGGAGAGATTCACGTTCTCTCCGCTTGTTTTTCTGATCTATCTGAATTCTGAATAGACTTGACCACAATTACGACCTAGGACGGGTGGTACGGTCGAGTAGTGTATTGTTGAGGGTGGTTACCAAGGAAGTGAATATATATTGTAGGGCGATGGACAGTATCGTGATGAACGATGATGTAAATGTTGGAAGGGAAATGAGGATTGTGAAGAGGGCTGTGTTTTCGCAGGTGTTGATATCATAAGAAGAAGGACATTGGATATTGGATATTGGATAATGAAATGAATGAATTGGACTGTATAGTATTTATTGTATTGTATTGTATCATACTGTAGAATCCAAAAGACGATTAATGATATTCAATTCCCCAAATTAAGATTACCTACCTCTCTCTTTTCTTCTTCTTTCTTCTGTAGAGTTTACCTACAGACCTAGGTACCTAGTATCTATCTAGTATCTACCTAGTACCTTACCTAGCTGGAGGTACCTAGCACTTCTCTCACTCTCACTCTCACTCTCTCATAGATACATACTACACACACACACACTTCTCCCTCTCTCTCATTCTCACTCTCCCTCTCTCAATTGAATATCAATCTATATTATCTATGTATTTCTTCCATGCAAATACATAACCAATTTTATACATCTTTTATTACCAAGGTCCTCTCATAATCTCTTTTATACCAAATTTTAATAAAACCTCCAACTTCTTCCTAATTTCTCGGCTCCACTTTTCCAACACTCTAAGCTCTAGCGCCCTTTCTCACTAGCAACGCCAGCTTTGGGACGAATCTCAGAACTCACATACCACCTCTCCATCCTTTTGTAGAAAGTCAATTTATTAGTCCTTCGACCTTTTTGGACACAACTCTCTCTCTCTTCGTCAACAACCCACCACCCTCTTCCCTCCAAAAAAAAAAATAAACCCTTCTTTCTTTTGGTAGTAGATTCAGTTGCATGTCCATATCAAAAGGACTCTGCTTCTGATCTCTACCGTCCATTCCTTTAATACTAACTTACATTTTATCACTCCTTTCTCATTTGCCAATTTACGAAGTCACTTATTCATCCATTTGTCGATTTTCAAGAATCAATTTGTCCCAGTATCTCCAGTCTCCCCATCTTGGCTGCCAAATGTATGTCGAGCGTTTATTATCTGTTAAATCATCTATCTACCATTGCGATCAACTTTCCATTACAGCTTCTCGCATTTGTTTCGACGAGTTGAAGGGAGGACATGCTAATTAATGGTCGCAGATTGGATCGTGGTCGTTGTGTCGCTCGTATTCCCATTGAACGATTTGAATCGAATAATTCTTCCTTTCGAATCCCCTACATCTCAACTTATATTTTTGGAACTGCGAGCGGTTTCTTCTTCGGCACCATTTTACTTTTCACTTTAACCATATGCTATTCTTCTAAGGGTTTGTTCGGTTGTTGGTTATCGATCCGATCTTAAGCAACATGGCTACCATATCAACAACGACACAAAGTGAGGTTAGCAGCCCTTCACAACTGCCTACCTTCATTTTTCCCGCACGAGCTTCTCCATCATCTATTTCCGCAACATTCCCAAGAACCTCGGGTCGGCGGCCAATGTCTATACCTACCGAATTGCCAAGTTTCTCCTTCAATCCTTCGACGACGACAACACCATCTCCCTCGAGCCCTGCACTTTCTCCACCAATCTCTCCAAGTTTCGCCAATTTCGATCTATCAAACTCCCCCAGAGCGGCTGGACATCGCAGAGGTACGAGTGAATTCATAGGTGGAGATGGCAAGGTAGGCTCGACTGCGGGATTGATGAGCACAAGTCCAACCCAAGGGGAAAATGCTTTGCCGCCACCTAATCCAGGAAGACGTGGACATGCACATAGACGTTCCGCTGCTGTGTCCGCACACGATATCAAAATGATTCTGAACCCTACCGCTCCAAACACACCGTCAATTCCACGAGGAGGATCCGCCCCAAATTCTCCATCTGGTCATGAGAGTCAACAAGGTGTAATTGGCCTCGCTAAATCTACCAGCAATGACGAAGCCTCTCCCATCAAACCCCCCTTCAATCGTGCTCGTGTCGGTTTCTCGGACAATGTGGAATTCATTCCTCGGCCCGTGAGCGTGGTGTCTAGTGACACATCTAGCACAGTCACAATGCGACCATCTCACTCAGTATCGAATTCCCTGAGCTCTGTTGTATCTGGAGGAACTATTACTCCACCGGCTAATGTCACTCCTCCGAATAAGGACCTTCTCGCCTTACCATCGCCCAATATTCGAGGAGCAGATTCACGGCCCAGAACTGCCAACGCCATCTTAGACCCAATCAGGGATACAACTCAATCGACAGAGACTTGTCCATCTTCAAGACGACGTGGATCCATGCCTTTACTTGATGATATCCAGGTTGTTGCTCCTCCAAGCCCTCGGAAGAAGTGGACATTTTTCGGACACGAGCCAGTATCTGGTAACTCTTCGCCAAGCCGATCACGTCCTGTTAGCTCGACGTCCATGGATAGACCGGAACCCAATGCGCCAGTGTGCTCGCCAGCAACTCCCAGATTTGACCATCATGACATCTATTACATGCCATCCATCGAACCCTCAAGTTCACGTAGGTCTTCGATTTCAAGAAAATCTGGCAAGAAACAAAAGAAAGTCAAGTCATGGGCAGGATCGATATTGTCGAGGAAATCTCGCAGTCGCGGTCAGAAGAAAAAGGGAGGCCGCCGTTCTGCGACACCTCCTCTGCGTCCTTACACGGCAATGAGTGACTCCGCAGCAGTTGAGATTCAGCCATTACCTGTTCATGCTGAAGAATCCCCCACTCCTGAGCAACAAGACTATGCATCATGGAAACCAAGACAGACTTATCCATCTGATGACGATGCCATGAGTCCTATTATTGATCTAGATGCCGCTCTTGGCCCATTCAACACCCCTTCCTCCTATGGAGCCGAATGGGAATCGTCACAAAAGACATCATCCAAGAGACGAATGCATAGTGCAGCAGGCATGGGCGGATTTATAGGACCGGGTATGCATTATCATCGACGAGCTGAAAGTGCTCCTGAGATGGTTCCATTTGAAAATAGATTCGGCATACATCGTCTTGGTAGCAGCTCCACCATGGCTGATGTATTTGAAGAAGACGAGGAAGATGATGAATGGGAGGATACGAAGGCTTCTTCGGACAAAGATTCCATAGCCAGAACCGAGGATGATGATCAAAATGCTCTCGGTATCGACATTAAGGTTGTTGACGCAGAAACATCCAATAGCGACAAGAACATGGATTGGTCACTGGATGAAACACCAAGTGTACAACAAAAGGATAGTGCGTTCAGTGAAGGTGAAAGCAAGGACACCAGTGCGAGCCTGAAATCTGGCCACTCCAATATGTCTTTGAGGGATGAACCAATAATGGAGGAAGAATCTGTTAGCCCAATTGAAATTGTAGACGACTCTATTCCTCCCAGACCCGATTCAGGTGCACGATCCTCGGAGTCTACAGCGACTCCACCTTTTCGACCTCGACCCGTCAAAGATCTAGCACCTGTTGAGATCAATCCCTTTTCGCTACAGCCTGCGTATCTTACACCAAACAGTCCCCACTCGACCACTCACTCCTCGTTCCCATCCCCCAGGTCACCATTTTCATATGATACACAACGCATATCCACGGCTCCATCATCGATTGCAGATGAAAACGCTTTCCAATCCTTGCTACTTGGTGAACCTGGACCAGAATTGAGGATGTCTGTTGATGATGTTCCCTCGCTAACAAGTAGCAATTCTACCATGACAAGGGAGAGTGGTGCGAATCCAGGTTACGTATTTCGTGATGGTCAACGTTCGGTTTCTGTCTCTTCTGCTAGTGGTCCGACACGCAAACGCTCTAGCATGGCCAGCTTGCAACGATTGATAAGCAGTTCCCATGGGGAGAGAAGCAAGTTATCCATTGAATCTCGTGCTCCTAGCAATCCCGAATTGGAGAGAAAAGATAAAGGAAGCAAGAGCAAACGGATCAGTCGTATGATTCAATTCTGGAAGCCTAAGGAGACAAAAGAATCAACTTGATTGTTGCTTGTGCTGTACCATATAATTTTTGTCCATCACTTAAAATTACACTTCCACACAATTCTACACCTTGCGCGGCAGTATCAAATTCAACCTTATGACACGAACTCGGTACACATGACTGGGACGACAACTTGTTCTAATTGATATTCACATGATTGAACATGGACGGGCATAATGTGCATCTTTTCGCATTTAAGGATCAATCGACCTCTGATTGTTATCCTACTTTTTTCGAGCTTCATTGGTTTATACCTTGGCAGAGCACTTTGTACTTTTGAGCGAGAATTCGGCGTTCTTTACATTTGAACAGGCGCGGTACAGAAGAACAACTTAACACTACTACATATGCATCTTAATTCCTTTCCAGGATTTGGAAAGACTCTTGCATTTAGGACAAGATGTGTGGGCGGCTAGTTTCGAAACGTTCTCTTATTTTAATGATAAAGCTGGGGTGTATGGGGTAGCATGAAGATGATTTAGTGTTTGCTTTGGATTTTGCTTCAATGACTTCTATTTCCCGGGTGTGCGGGAAGGAAGATCATATTTCATTTCGATCATGGAATTTTACAAATAGGAATTTAAAGGAAGGAGTGGTTATATCTGCTGGTGTGGGGCGTAAACATCTATCTCCGATAGGAAATATATTCCTCATCTTCATCTTCACGAGAAAGATTGGAATGGTGGGATTGAAGAAGGGTGGCATGTCTGTAGCCAGTAGACTGCGAGAGCACTCATACTTAAGTATGGTTGATGCGACTAACAAAATGAATATACCGAAATTAGAAATATACATTCTTTTATGCAATCTGAGATCTTGATATATGTGTTGTGACATGATTTTGTGATGAATTTAAAGGGGGTATCTATGATTATTGATGATGGTATGTTTGTGTACAAGTCTTTGATAACATATCTGTCAACAAGAGCATCATATTTCTCATTCCTTCAGTTAATGAAATTCTAGACCGACTTCATCCTTCTGACTCCTTTTTTTTGTTTCAAATGAACATGCATGACTTTCGAACTTATTACTCGTGAGCTGTAAAAGGGGGAGATAGTCTTGAGATAGTTTAGAATCCAGCCAGCCTTCCATTGCCTTGTGCACGAGCCTCTCTAGTCTCGACCTCGGCAACTAAAAAGAAAAACGACGTGCTTGCTTGCTTTGTGTGCTTTCATGGTTTAAGCTTCCTCGAGTGGCTGGTAAAGATAGCATCTTTGAACCCCCGACGATATCGATACTTTGACTATTACTACAATTTTATCAAGGTCCTTGGACAAACTTCTCAAGGCCGTGCCGTGTTTGTTTTCGAGGTATAATAGAGGTTACCTAGGTCCACGAGTAGCTTTATCGATCGATCGATCTAAGATAATTTTACCGCGTGGTTCGATCGTCGGATTTCTTTCGTGTGCTTCCTGCGCCAATCTCACAAATCACATCGTATCGTATCATATCGTATTTCTCAGCTCCCACACGCAAACATGTCGCGGTCTCCCACCAAGCGAATCCTCACCGAACTCTCCGCCTACAACAACTCCCCTCCTTCCCCCACCCAAACGGGTATCGTCTCTCTCGCCCCCTCCCCCTCCTCCATCCTCTCCCTCTCCGCCATTCTCCAATGTCCATCCTCCTCTCCCCCTTCCCTCGGCTACCTCGGAGGCCGCTGGCTTCTCTCCATCGCGCTCCCAACTAACTACCCCATCGGCGCCCCCATCATCAGATTCGTAACGAAAATCTGCCATCCGAATGTGAAATGGGAGACGGGAGAGATATGCTTGGATGTGCTGGGAGAGAAGTGGACACCGGTGTTGGGGGTAGTGGGCGCGCTGGAGTCGATTGCGGCGTTGGTGGCTGGGGGAGGCGACGAGACGAGTCCGTTGAATGTGGATATTGCGAAGTTGCGGGGGATGGGGGATGTAGTGGGCGCGAGGGCGTTGGTGGGGTGGTGGTGTGCGGAGGAGAGGTTTGAGGGGGGGTTGGAGTAGAGGGTGGATGATGGGGATGTGGGATGTGGAATTGGTGTGCGAGATTGAATGCGCGTAGTTCGTAATGTTATGCGGGTTGTCCCCAATATCTCCCGATATCAATCATCTTCCACGAAACAGCGAGTTCACAATCGATTTGAACGTACTAGCATACATTACATTACATTGCATTGCATTGCATTGCATCAACCCCGGATTCTATCAAGCGCTACCTCCCTCATACACATAACATACACATACACATATACGAGAGTGGAGTGAAAACCTGGGACTGGTACAGCAATTGGAGATAATTTACTCATATTAGCACGGCGTTTGGGATTTCTTATATATCAGGGTAGAATTTTTTGATTCTTTCCTTTGGAAAGAGATGCGGTTGAGATGAGATGATGGATGTCACAGCATACATGCATACACACACTATATCAAACCAAGAGATGAACAAGAAAGATTGGGAAAGTTATGAAGTTTCTTGTATATACATACTACTGAGTAGTTTGACTGGCTCGTGGGTTTTGAGAGTCGGATAGGGCACATCGTGTGCTGATATGTACATTTATATGTACAGTGAGGAATGATAATGAAGAGAGTTTTTCCACCTCGGCCTCGTTTTAGCTACCTACCTGGTTGCGTTTTTACTCGTGAGGCTTGGGCCATGGTAGAGATGCTGTGGGTTTAAGTATGATTACAATGTAGGGCGAAATATGAAGACTTGAGTGGGACTTTGTTCTTTTTTTCTATGTATAGAGAGAGAAAATCAAGGAATAGTTCTTCTTATTCTCTTTCTCTCTCCCTCTTTTTCACTTCTTTTTTCTGTTTCTCTTTCTCGTTCTCATTTTACTACTACAGATAGTATTTAAATATTCTCGCTTGCTACAAAAGTTTGATGTGATGCATATTATGACGAGATGAGATTTTTGTGTGTGGGGAGAATCGGGATTGATGAGATGACATGAGTTGAGTTGAGATGATATGATCTGACAACGCAACATGAGAAATTGGGAGGATGTCCGTTTTGTTTATTTGTTTGCTTGCATTTTTTAAGGGGGGAGTTGGATTAGATTTGTTGGGTACTTGGTTGGTTGGTTGGTTGGTTGAGAGGGGGAAGGAGGAGTTAGAGGGAAGGAGGAGGAGTTGGGGTTTGGGCAGTGTTGGGGATGGTGATGTTTTTTGAAAGGATAAAGGGAGTTATGAGTGTGTTATTTGTTGTACTGGGTTTTTGGAGTCAGAGGGGAGGTGGGGGGGTCAGAGGAGTAAGTAGTTATTGAGAAGAGGGTTTGGGGTTTGTCTTCTTAAAAGCTGTGAGGTTTTACATTCATGGTGCGTTTAGAGATACAATCAAAACTGTCAAAGTTCATAGAAAATTTATTCAACCTTTCACGAGTTGTACGAATCTTTCCTCCTCTTGTTCTCAAAGATATAATTAGATCACCCCTAACTCACATCACAGCACAAACAAACAGCAGTACGAAAATTGCCAATGATTCGCGATAAGTGCTTGCTCCTCCCTTTCTCTGTCTTCGTCAGCCCATCTATCTAGACTAGAAATTTATCTCGCGTGTTCGGGGGTTTTACTCACAATTTACTTATAAGGCGATAGTATCGCTTCATCTTTAATAGCACATCTCATACCTTATAGTTTCACAACCTTGATCATATATCAGATAAACTCCCATCTTCCATTATCTGTTTCTACACATCATATATCTATCAAACGACCGACTTCAAGGCTGAAATTCATTCTACCCTTGAGATGAATAGCAATATATTGAGAATGGGAGTAGGATCTATGATTGGTATTGCAGTTAGTGTAGTGTCGCTTGTGGGTTTGGGAGTTGTGGGTTTGTGGAGTGGGTATGATTTGAAGGAATGGGAGATAGGGGGATGGTGTTCGAATCAAGTTTGGGATAGTAGGCAGACGGGGAGTTTTTTATTAAATTGTATTTGATGGACTGAGAAGGGAGGTAGATGTGAGTGGGTTTGCGGGAGGGAATTCAGTGGGGGTGGGTTTGGTATCTTTGAGGAAGAGGGCGTGGAGGGTATAGGGAACGCATCTTTTTGCGGGTAGCGAAGACGAAGGTTAGATTTGGATTTGGAGTTGGATTTGAATGGTTGTGTCGTTGATGTTATCAGAGTGGAATACGAAGAAAATTGAGTTACAAATCTGTGGTTTTAAGTCGATGGGAAAATTGTTGTGATGAAGTCTCTACAGAGGGCTACTCGTGTTTTCCAGCACTCTTAGATGTGACTAGTTTTTCCTTATTGGGGGTATGACCATACAACCTTGAAGAACTTCTGAGGGCAAAGATTCCAAAAGATTAGAAGAGATTTCTCTCTAATATCTACACTCCTAGACTTAATCGTACGTTTATCTACTGTAGAAGCACGTTTTCAGCGCACACCCCAACACATGAAGTGAATGAGGTGACTGGCCAGATACTCAGATATAGTGATTTAAGAGTCATTTCTATGACTGATCACATCATTTTTCCGAGTCACTGCGAGTCAGAGGAATAGCGCTAAAGTATTCTGACAGTATATAGTTGAGAGCTTCCTCGAAATAAAACTCGAAAGATCTTAGCTACAACTATCTTCTAAGCTCAAATCAATTATCAGATTCCTTGATCGAGATTCAACCATTACCAGTATCTGAATTACTTTTACTTGCAACCACGAAATTTCCATATTCAACACTTGACGCATTCGTTCTTTGACTCGAGAAGGCTACGATTTACAGCACATCAACATACATACATCGTGTCGGCTACAGACCTTATCTTGAGTCAAAATCACCGCATCACAAAGGTATTAATTCTTCTTTTTTACAGAAGAATACTTCTAACCTGAGAATAGCACAATATCAAAAATGGATTACATGTTGGTCGGCATTGCATCAACGGTAGGAGTACTGGCTGTCCTCATTGCAGCTGTCTGGTATCATACCAGTAGAAAGAAGAAGCTTGCGGCTGTGAGATGATCAAGCTGTGGTGCGGTTTGAGGTGGAGTGGGATGGTTCTCTTGAGTTTTGTGGATGGATGAATAGATGGATGGATGGTGGGGTGATGTAGGGTTATTTTCTTTTGGTGTAATTTTAGATAAGGAGGGTAGGAGGAAATCATTGAATGGGAGGATACGGGCGAAGTAACAGACAGAAAGGGGAATGGGAATCGTCTTAATATCTTTGAGTTTTGGACTGATAGTATAGAAAGGACGGAAAGGTTTTTAGCGAGTGTTTGGGGTTCAACTACTCGCATGCGTTGAAATTGATGTTCTGGAGATGGGTTTTTAGTTCTTAATACTAAAATCCCGAATACAACAGATTAAAGTCTACATGATTCTCGACTGGTTTGGAGTGAATGGAGTGACTACTTGGGGATGGTAATACATACAGAATAATTCCTGTGACTGTTTCACATCTGAGTCAGAGTTCTAGTTGTGTGTACTATGGTAGTTAAGTTTCCTAAGGTGGTATCCTCTGTCGAGTTACTACGTAGATACTCAACGATCACATCAGATCTAATCACTATTCGAATTTCAAACGCGCCTCAGGACTATTATCTTCAGAAGTACCTTGTAGAACTTCGTCTTCACAAGCTTCAAACCACCACGCATCTTTTCACTGCACTCACGCCACTCCCCCTTCCATTCATTCCAAAGTATCCGAACTTCGCTTCGCAGCATAGTCGCATTTATCTCTATCTCTGGTACTAGAATCACACATTGCACATTATTCCCTAAGTATACCATTCCTTTTCTATGGTAACCATCACATATTCTCAACCTCATAGATCTTCTAACATTCAAACCAGCAAAACATCGCATTAACAACCAGTCAAGAATGCCTTTGGGACGGTATCCATCGTTGCTCTATCATCACTTGCAGTGATCGGCCTATGTGTCGGCGCTTTTGGAGTTTGGAGACAAATTAAGAAAAAGCAAGAGGGTGAAAAAGTACGGATGGCTCAAGAGCAAGTTCCGAGGATTGTGTATACGTCGCCTTCTTTTGCTTCGTAGGGATTTTTTGATGATTAGAAGGTGTAAGAGCCGGCGGGTTCACCAGGATAGAGGGAGGGTTGGGGGTGATCTAAGGATGAGGGGATGGATATTGGGAGAGCTGAAAGTCTTTTTTGTTCCTGGCTTTCATTGTGCAAGAGAACAGTAAAGTTAGACATTGTCGAGCACGAATCACTTGTTCCTTTAAATCTAGTTATCGTCAATTACAAAAGTCCGGGTGTTTTTGTATTCTGAGAGGTATTATTAAGAGTCGATGGATGCAGATGGCAATTACTAGGCTTTTACACTCTTGATACCAGTATTGGAGGGGGGTCATTATATGCAGTTTGAAGAATTATCTGCATACTAAGAGCGTTGAACTTAGCAAGTTTAAATCATTTTGTGTTTATTCGTGCTATAAAAGATCTTTTGCAAGAAATATATAAGCGAAGATTGATATGCTAAATTGAACTGTCAGGTCTCGAGGTCACTGTCCATCTTGATTGAAATTTGAGTGAATTGGGTCGAGCCATAGTGGTGAGTCCTGAGTCACAAGTATGACAGAATTTGTTCCCGATGTAGAATTTCCTTCGACTCAACAAGAAGTCATAGAAAAGCTAACAATAGAATATTACCTTTTAATCCGGATTCTTTAAATCACCTAAATTTTAATCTTGGAGTTCACGTAGACACTACATATAGAACTTACGGTACTCACCAATACTCACCCCGGCTTTCCTCGCTGTCTCATCAACATTCTTGAGCTCGAAGATCAACATGGAATTCTTTACAATTCTTCCAGCTCTTCTTGCTCACTACGACAGACATTGGATTCCACGGTTGCCAGAGTTCAATGCCAAGGCATCTAGACATTGTTCGCTGCAAGTCCCAAGTCCCAAGTCTCTCCGCTCATTACAATGTTAAGACCTTTCTTGAGCCGATCTCATCAACAATATCTACCTCTGTAATCAAATTCAAAGCGATTAATTGGAATCATACCCGATATCAAAGATTTATCATCGCGCTATACATTTCAAGCATGCCCTCTCATAAATAAAAGTCAAAATCCAATACAATACTAACATAACAACAGTAAGATGAAAGGAGTTATGATAGTCGTGCTGGCACTATTGATACTTGTGCTTGGCTCTATTTCGGTCTACTATATTGCATGGAAGCCATTGGCGAAAAGAAAAGAGGTTTTGACCTTGCCGACTACGAATCACTTATAAATCGGCAGTGGATCTTGTTATCGAGTATACGACCTCTCATGTTGTTAGCTCAAAGACCTAGTTGTCTTTTCTTGGGAAGAAAAATTGATGAGATGGTTGGATGGGGTTGACACTCTGTTGTATTGTAAACCTGGTGAGGGGAGGGAGCATGATAAGTGGTTCAAAATAATCTCTCAATACCAAGAGCGTTGATGTTGACAAATTAGAGTCATCCTACTGCTTCGTTCTAAAGTGAATGACATAATCATTGACAGAGTAACTGATGTAGTTCGCACTGAAATTCTGAGTCAAAAGCGATAGTTCTTGAGGGCTTACTAGTAAAGCAATATCTTCAGGTCTTTCTCGAGACTACCTCGAAAATATCGATAAACATCGAATGAATCTAGCCTGACATCGTTACGTTGTGATGGAGATATTCGCTGGCAAAATTTTACCACTTATGCTATGGTCATCTTCGTCGCAGCAAATATTTTTAGATCGCAATCCCAACATATTCAAAAATATGGCTCACCGGGAGGTACTTCAACCCGTGATATCATGCGCCAAGCCCCAACCCGCAGCCACCTCCACTCTCATCCTGTAGGATTCCAGCCATCTACAGGGACAAGGATTAACATCACCAATTCTAATTTTCTTCAAGAACTTTATGTTTCACGAAAATATATCATCATGCCACTTATGCAAATGATGACTATTCACAATGAACCATCTCTCCAAAAGGAAGAGGTCCTGAACCCAGATTATGCTGTGTCTCCCACGATATTATAGAGACGTAATTTCATGTTACTCATTCAACATATAGGTAATAACGAAGATTAACCACGCGCGCATAGAACAGAAATAGTGCTGACCATAAGCCTCACCCATTTGCTGACCTTGGCACCGCGCAGTGTAGCTTATTAACGCAGGTTCATTCTTCATAATAGAGGCCGGGACGAACACGAAGAACCATATGTTGTTTTTCATGTTTTCATCGTTCTTTACGGTTGGCAAGGTTAACCAACATGTTGTATCAAATTTATATTCCTGTGTTACTTTCTCTTATGGCATCCGCATCCGCTTATTGGATACAATTCAATGCCGAGTCTAGATGCGCCAGTAAAGAAACTCTGCGTTCATGGAGCGGATCAACAAATAGAGGATGTCAGGCACGCTTCTCTAAAACAGCCAATTCGGTATTCGTCATGAATACTGGCACATCGGATGATAACACAGTGGTTGTTTTTTATTCCTCGCAAGACTGTAATCCCGAAAGTGCCATTGCACGGGTCGAAAGTGGATGTGTTGAAATTGAAAGCGAAAATCTTGGAACCAAATATCAGTCATTCAATGTTATTCGAACGTTTGATTCGGCGAGGATTACACCGGTTTCGAAGAACGAGTTTGGGTATCAGCATGGTGGAATCAAACTCTACAAAGGTGTGGAGTATCGGTGGTTGAAGCAGCTTGATGGATCATTTCGAGGAGTATTTCCGGAGGAATGGGATGATGCTGTTTTGAAGCAAAGAAAAATAACCACCTCTGTGAGCTGAGAAATTGGTTATAAGGAGGTTGGAGCAGCGTATGACGAACCCAGGCATCTTCGATACGATAGCTTCTGGAAAACATTCACTGATAGAAAACATGCCTCCAACACGACGAGCATTGATCATGTGAGAAGCGCCTCGATTACCAGTCAACCTACTATTGAGTATAGACATGTCATATCAGTGCACACGCTGAGGGGGAGACAGGAAAGTCGTCGCGGAAGTGTTTACTCCAGAGGCCTGCAAAATGGATGAGTAAAATTGAAAGCCAGAGAAGAGACATTCAAGAGTATGGTTCTGAGAGTGCGAGTACTGAGTAATGATTAGAAGATTAATCTCCAGTCGTCTTTTCAATCCGAAATGCCTCTAAAAATACCTACCCATTGTAGGTACCCTACTGGTAATATTTTAGGGTGGAGCTCCTTTCGAGCTTTGAGACAATACATCTGCAAATTCTCAAGCATACTTCCTAAGCCAAGGATGCGGGACTCAGAAATTATTCGACGGGAGATTGCGAGGTTCCAGTCGCCCGTGAAGAACTATTACCCATTAAGAGAGGGTTTTTCGTGTATAGATGCGAACCTATTTGATGAATATTGGCTGGGTTCTTTGAATGGTAGCTTGGAAGAATAGCACTAGACAAACTTGCGAGTGTATTTAACAGTGAAACACAACGCATGCGATGACTCTTAAGTTGGAGAATTTCCCTCGGAAGTAATTAGACAAATAGAAAGGCATGTTACTGCACTCGGAGAATCGGCCCATCATATTTGTGGACCTATGAATGAGGATTCGCGTGTGAATTGCGGTAAATAAGGACAAGATCTAATCTTCTGTCTTCCTATATGCACCAAAACTCCAAATGCTATGCAATGTGATCCCAGATTTCCTTTACCAGTCTTCGTCATCATCACTCTCAACATTGGGCAGCTTCGAACCTCGAATACCGCCCTTCTCTTGACGCTCTTCTTCTTCATCCTCTGCATCACGTCTTCGCTTCGTAACTCTCATATCATTATCCTTGATAGCTCCAATTTCAATCAACAGCTTATCGATCTCCGCCATTCCTACTCGCACACCTCCCATGGTCATTAATGTAACCACTTGCTTCACAATATCTCCTTTGTTGTACACCAGTATCGTAGGGCAATTTCTGTCGGGATAACCTTCAATAGCCATGTCACCCCTCATCTCGCAGAACTTGACCTCCCCAAACTCAACAGCTGCTCTTCTCCACAACTCAGTCAAGACCCTACTTTCTACATTCGTTCCCAAACCACTCGTGAGATTGACCAATACTAGCGAGTCTTGACTTGCATCTGTAACCTCTCTCTGATAATCAGGCTTCGATAAAGGGTATACTGCGCCGTGTTTGGCTTTCTTCGATATAGATGATAATTCTGCCATTCGTTGTTTTTTATATTGTTCGAGGAAAGCATCATCTTCTTCATCTTCAAGAGCGTCTAGCTCGTCGAGATCCTTTCCTTCAAGTCGGTTTTCGTGCGCAAGACGACGTCCCTCGAGAATAGCCTCTTCGATAAGGGGCGTGGGGGAAGGAGGTTTCTCGGGAATGATACCCTTGGCTCGCAAAATATCATTCCATTCTGTATCGGCATTTGGATCATCTATAGGCACATTGATTCTCTGATCCATAGGAGCTGCCATGGTTGTGAAAGTTGAGGCTGATTTGAGGAATTCTTGTATTATGATGATACTTAACCTAAATTTGCTCCAAGACAATTGTATGTGGAATCCACAATCTGCAGCCTGGCCTAGCTCTGAGCAATTGGAGGGGTAGTCGGAGCAAAGATGACCCAGAAGCCGATCCACTTAAAAGCACAAGCTATTTTTACGGGTCGAATTTCGTCTTCACGTGATCGATCTCGGTTAAAAATCTGGCACACTCTAGGGTTTTTAGAATTGGTTCAATTTTCTCCGCTCTTGAAACTTACCAGTTCGACCCATCGACAATAGACTGACCTTCGCCCTCTACGTCCAAAAAACTCGAGACTTCGACAAAGACCCGTCAGTCCAATATCCGAATAACAATTTCGATCAAAATACGTCAAGATGGTAAGGAATCATTCAATCAATTATCCCCACATCAACGCATCGATTTTGGTTTGAAGGCATGAGGTGGAATTGTACAATGGCACACGACATTCACACGGCAATCACGAGGAGGAGAACAAGCTTGAAACGGATTGGAAAATGTTATTTGTTCGCCTTTGGATTGGATCGAATTGTTGGAATGGATGCGTTGATGATGGAATTTGATGGTAGAAATTCGATGAGGTCAATGGCTAATCAGAATTTGCCACCTAGGTTCTCGCAATCGATCTCCTCAACCCATCCCCAGCTGCTGAGGCACGCAAGCACAAGCTCAAGGTATGCGACAACACCTTTCACTAAATCTTCGACTCGGTTCAAAATTGGCAGAAGCTAATATTTCTTTGCCACTCTAGCAACTTGTCCCAGCCCCAAGATCCTTCTTCATGGATGTTAAGTGCCCAGGATGCTTCACCATCACCACTGTCTTCAGCCACGCTCAAACCGTTGTCATCTGCGCTGGATGCTCAACTGTTCTCTGCCAACCAACAGGTGGTAAGGCTCGTTTGACTGAGGGCTGCTCCTTCAGAAGAAAGTAGATTAGATATATTCTTGCTACTTTTCTTTTGGCTTCGTCTTTTCGGTTAATGGCAATGGCTCAATGAGGGTTTAGACATGGTTCTAGTTTTCGATACGCAATTTGATGGATAGAAGATGGACCTCACCCAAAATTCCTTGCGAAAGATCGATGCAACAAGCAGCAGAGGGGCGTTTGGGAAAATCCGGATATCTTGCATCAAATCAAAAACGATTCCCTCATAAAATTTGATTTATTTTCGTGTGTACGAGTCGTTTGTGATATGATTGATCGCGAACGTAAATACCTCCATTGGTGGATATGAACGGCAGGAAATGACGATTCTACGAATATTCACGATGATAGAACGACCTGGAGTTGCGAGAACTTGGATTGTCTCTTGAGGGCCTCGACATATTCTCAATGGACATGGAGCTTGTGCTATATCAATCAACGATGATTCCATATTCCCTTTTCAATGCCCATTCCGTGAATAATGTATGAATACCGATTGACTTTGTTGTGATGGATAGTTCGCAAGCGCGTCTGCCCAGATGAACCTTTTTCTGACTTGCCTGGCCATTTTCCAGATTCTTTCTTCACATGTCTTGAAGTGATATACTAAGATTGTGAAATTCTAAACGCCGAATAGTTTTAACGACCCCATGCAACCTGGAAAGGCAGCTTACTCCTAATTATCACATTTATTTAAGCTAACATAGGGGAAGCGACATCGATGCTTCCACAAAAACGCTTGTCCAAACACTGGACTTTGACATATTCAAGGGCAGTATACATATTTCAGCATGTCGCTACTTATGACTTTCAGGACGGATTCTCCATCTAGTCGAAATTGCTGTATGAGTATCATCTCTTCCCACCAAGTTGACAATACAGTGAAGTCATCTAATCGATGCTGATTTCTCGGCTTGGCCTGCTATTTCCCTGGACGAAAAACAGAAGCTCAAATCAATTCTACTGTACTCCTGCAACTTTGATTCGGTTGTTCCCTTCTAAGTTAAAGCAATTATGGTTGAGTGAGTGTAATGGGCCAATGTGGAAAGTACATCTTTGCTTAACATCCCTCGACGAATCATGTAGGATTTTATTTCATCTTCCGCTATCGATATGGCGGATCAACACTACACATTGTCAAGTTTTTCAGATTCTGCCCTCATGTCCCTCCCCTTGAGTGAATATCTACAAAGCTTTCGATCCAGTGAAATTGCGATATGTACCCTTGATAGGTATTCACTGCATCGATGGAGTCAAAGCTTGTTCAAAGGAACTTATTTCGACACGGCTTCTCACCTTTGTTTCTTTCATTTATCCTCGGCGCCCTCTCCTAGATCTCATTCCGTCCACCGCGAAAATCATGGCAGAAGTTACTGAATCTCATGATCCTACCCCGACCGACACTGTCATGGACGATGGCATCGAATCTCAACTTCCCATCTTACACAATGATCGTCGTATCCACCTAGAACGTCTCGCAGTATTTCTGGCATTTAGAGAAGGTTCTGCGCAAACGGCGGAGGCAACAAGAAAGTCATTCCACGGCAACAAAAAGGCATTTGTCAACAGAAGGCGAGAATTCTTCGAACAGTTGATTAGCAAACCAGAGGTTTCATCGCAGCTGCAACGAATGAAAAAGAAGCGTGTCATCGCAGCCGCCGAATTTCTGTTCAGGACTGGTCATCTCTCATCAAATTCGACAATGAATAAACGCTTTGCACATCTCTCTGCAGAACAGATCCGGAGTTTCGAGTGGAGGGCTTCTGTTTCTCTTCCTCCATGTGCGTACTATTCCTGCGAATGTTGTTATGGGTAGTTACTGACAATTTTTATGTTCCAGTGAAAAAGAGGATAGTCGTAATGGTGGAGTTGGAACCTCCTATATCAACGAGGACTAGATCGAATTGTGAGGGCTGTCGAAAATCGAAGATAGCTGGTGACGAATCGAAACTCTCTGATGAGATGGAGAAAATGTGTTTGTGTGCTGGGGGATATAAATCCAATTTGAATGGAGAGAATGGTGGCGCAGACTCGGCGAGAAATGATGATGATGAAATGGAGATGAACTAGTTTATAGTCGTTACTGTGCGCATGTAAACGCTGATACAAGATTTCTGTTTTTTTTTTGCCTTCACATCACAACAGAATGTCGATATCTGGTGACTCTTTTATTTTGTTCTATATAAAACGTCCTATGTGAATCTCTGGAGTTTGTGTCTGTTCGGAGGTGACTATCAGCCCTACAAGCTAGCATGAGGGCAGCCTAATGTGTTGCCACATTCATTGTTTTCACCTTGACGGCAAGTTTTGATATTGAGTCAACACTACTCCAGCAAATTGAATCTGATCACTCTTCTTAGAATCACTGCAGATAGAAAGAAACATACTAGCGCGACTTTCTGGGAATCAGGAAAGTATTGATGGCTCTAATGCAGCGAGCTAGCATGGATCAGTGATAATTCAATCTACCGGGTTGAGATGCGCTGAAAAATTTGTAAGAGTATCTATTAACGCTGGAGAAATGCATTATTTGAGGGTCTGGATCTATGGTTTAGTATTGTAAAACCGTGATGCTTCAATCCGATCAATAGAATGAGAAAATGGTGATGTAGAGAACGGGCTTAGCTTTTGAAAGCTTTAGAAGGTAACACGCGCGAAGTGGGCGTTTCTGTCATCGAAAATGACCTGCGCGATAATCACTCCTGGACAGCGATCCTTCATACGTTTATCCATGTTGTTGTCTTTCGCTTTTTTGATTCCCCACTTATTAAAGTTGTTGAAGAGTAAGCGAACTCGGTGTATTGATCAGTTTTAAGTCGATCTTCTGCCGCTTGAGGTTATGAAAATGGCGAGAATTTTAGGAACTGTACATACATAAACAATGAGTTGAAGGCACTTCAGGTAAGGCAGAGTAAAGTACTGTGATGTCAGCCTTATCATTGACGGGGTTTCTATCGCTCAAGGGTTTTTCTGACGAAGTGATTCAAGAGGTACGATTCGGATATGCAAGGGTGTGGGCCACGTAGTGATTAGACAATGTATTATTGGGGGTTCATATACAATGGAGACTTCATCTCCTACAGCCATGATACTATTCCAAAAAATATTCACGCACACTGTTCAGCCCTTTTCCAATCATGAACTTCGTGAAGGTCCTGCACACCACGTCCCACAAGGGCATCCCGTGAGCTTCTTAATCCATATGCATGCACGTTCATCCACCAACTTGCTCTTTTTATCTGGCGGTTCCATTTGAAACAGTTGGACCCTCTTGATTGTATGACAATTCTCAGTCGGTAAATTCTCCACAGGCTGGAGTTTCCCGTCAGGATAACGACAGCCAAATTTATCGAAATCACGATTGTCACATCGAGGCTCAATTGACTTCATGATAGATTGTAAATCGCTCATCGCCACGACCCTTTGCAACGGAGTCTCTAGATTTCCCCAATTCTCGTCTAATATCGTTTTCCAAATCTCTCCAAAGGATATGAAAGCTTGATAAAATCTTCTCATGCTTACCACTGGTGAAAGTAGAGTCTCTTCATCCTTACCATCGTCTTCAAAAAGATCTTTGGTTGAGAGAAGGTCTTCCCAACACTGTTCAACCAAATCAAGGGAGTCCGGTTGCCCTTCGAGAAATTTCCAAAGAAATTTGGTATAATCGATAACATCATTATAAGCCCTGCAGAGCATTTGGTGGAACATTGTAATCTTTTCGATATCGTCTATTTCTAAATTTGTCGTTTCAGTCAAGATCTTTTTCCTTACATCTAATTCTTCAGACATGGATATTGGAGGAGGCGCTTCTGAGACTGCGAGCTAGTTCTTAGTTTAAGAGTTTCCGTAGTGGGATGGGATCAGAGGAATGAACTACATACCATCGTTCATGATAAGCTCGACACATTCCAGAGGAGGCTCACTGACCAGATGAGGAAGTTCGGGATCATTGCTGGGCGGGTCTGAAACGTCTATCTCGACTCGAGCAATCGCTTTCCCCTTTTCTTCCGCCTTTCCATCGAGTCTGCGAGTACAACATCATCAGTTTTTTTCCCATGTGAGACCATAAGCCTTGCGTACGTTTGACCTATACCTGGACGAGATTCTATCGCCTCCTCTGTCACACCGTTCCAGAGGGTAACGGTCCTCAAATTATTATGAGCCACTGCAGGCCTTCTTTTCATTCGTTTCTTGAAATTACTTGGTCCCTCACTGAACTTCAAGTGCCTCTGCAGCTGTTCTCTTCTTGTACACTTTCTTCCACGCTTCACTTCTCTCTTGTTACCTTTTGATTTCGCTTGTTTCATATCGCTATTTAGAATAGAACTCGCATTTACTAGGAGTACTTTGTGCGGTAGAAGTAGGTGATCAATGATCAGATATCGAGATAGAAATTTTTCATGGCCCGAGAAATAGTCTTTCCCTCGCGGCAACAGATTAAAAAAGAGAGCGCGAGTAAATACAAACAAAGACTAAATGTTTTGACTCATCGAAGTTGTATTTTCCTAGTCACTTTAATTCTCCTGCAGAAGAGCGACAATTCCCAGTATCTAATGTCAAAAAGTGCGACAAACGGGCTCAAAGCGGTGCAATGCATCCTTGTTAACGCTGCCAAGACGGCTAGACGCATGAGATAGTACGCCATGTGCATGGAGCAGCGATGCCGTTTTGACTCACCGATTATAATTTCTGGGCATTTATAGACTATCATCTCGATCATTCGTGACACCGATTGGTAGGTAATTAGTGTTGAGTTCAAAATACCATTACTCGGTTCATTGATATAGGAAGGTGACTCGAAAAGGTTAATTGTGCAATCTGAGTTGATATTGGACTGACTACAGATCAGTTAATGACTAATCGAAGTAATACAGAACTGACAAATAGTTTTGAAAAGTCTGGTGAAACCGCACTCCGCGTGATGTACTTCACGTGATAATGTGTTGAGCTGCATGGAGGGGGCAGTGTGGTGCAACGTGAAACGCAGGCGTCTCAACTGCAGATGTATTTTTCTTATACAGATCTATTCTAATCATTTGATCGAAGATGCCCCATTTGAACCAAGACATACTAAGTCGACGAGATTGGGACTTAGATGATTACACCATCATCGCGAATGCAATGCAAATAGAATGAACGCCTTTTCACGGAGAGAGAGAAACCTCCGCAGTATTTTTTGGAATGCGTCAAGGAAGATATGGGCTTCGAATCTGTAGAGATGGTACACCAATCTCGAATAATTTGCTGGATATTGATTAATAAGCAATTCGTCTTCGAGTATTCACGTCATCTCACATGTAATCGTGCAATGTATGTTTTTGCGTCAAGAATTTGAAGTGATGTACATGTAACATCTCGAATGGGCGTCAATAAAATATTCTGCCTGGATGGGAAAGATGATACTCTATATTGGTGCTAAGCAAATTATCACAGCTGGAAAGGTGGTTGCAAAAATAAGTACAACCTTCGATGAGTCGACAGTGACCCGTCGTTGTACTTTACTTTGACGATCTAACCCAGGAAGAAGTCAGACCATAGAGAAATGCCCAACTTTACGTTTGTGAGAATATTGTGACGTCCCTGAGAAGATCTATACAGGACGTGTCTCAATCACAGAGTACTACTTGACACTGCTCACAACTTACACACTCAACTACGTACCATATCATCTTGCGTTGACGTTTCTCAACATTGAAGCTGTACGATACTCATCTAAATGTTTTTTCAAGAGAGGTACACGTCTAATACGCCGGTATATTCTAAAATGGCTTCCATTTAGCCATTTAGCCATTTAGCTGACAATATCTACCTACTTCCGAGGAATTGGAAGGGTATGGACGCCGAGAAGACTTGTGAATATAGGCATGTTCTCCACTTGTATGTTGTGGATATTTCTCTGATGAATCTACACAGCTTAACGCCTGATTTCGATTTCTTGTGCAAGCACCGGTTGATATAACACACATCATCATCATTAGGTAATCTGAAGGTAGGAAATTACAAAAACATCTGTTTTATTTTTCCAAACCTCGATACTCTTTCTTGAAAAGGGCATTCTTAAGCAACATGACAACTAGATATACAAGATATATAGTATTCAAGGAATCATATCTTTGAATCCCCAGAAGTGCTTCCAAATCCTCTACCTAACACGTTGAATTATTCTGATCTCTTGGAAACCTACAGAATCATAACTTATTCAAGCGACAGTGATTCCTCCACAATTATATTTCGTATCCTTAGCTCACATCTAATGAAGAATTTATTACTGATTTGCCTATAATAGTTTCTTATACCGATAGTTTTTAACACAAGCTGACGTATCTGAAAGAGATATAAGCAGGAGTATGATCTAAGCGAAAATTGATTCAAACATAGAATCATGAGAGAGAAAGATGCACGCCCGTGGTCGCTCTCTAAGTGCTACCACGCGCATGAATCTTACATGCAGAAAATTGTTTCCCCTATACCTTACCGACATTGAAAGAATAATCTCTCAAAAGCCCTGATGCAACGTTGCTCCTCTTCGATACAACTTTGAGATGATATCAATGGAACAATAAGAGAGATATTGACCGCAATTGAAAATCCACCCAGCACATCATTACAAACTGGTCTTGAAAGAGAGATTAGTATCAAATCCGAATTAGACTCACAACAACAAAAAAAGAACATACATCTCACATGACATAACCAATCCAACATCAATCGAGACTTTTATTATGAGTTAATCCAGCTTCCACAATCTCCATATATCGTACGAAGAAGAATATAGTATTGAATATAATACCCGACATCGAGATATCATGATGTATAACGATATAATATATCCGAAATATCGAATTATGACTCGAACAACGCTCGATTAACAAGACACCTTCTAAATATATTTAATTCCCAACTATATTTTCCTGAATATTAAATAAGCTTATTTTTAGAAAAGCGCTGAAAGGCATCGAAACTCTGGATCTCAATAACATCTATTTCCTCCTCGATGAAGACAAAAACCTCAATTCTTTCTCTCATTATAGATTTTGCTACAAGTACCTACGGAATGAATATAAGAAGCTACTTATAAATCTATCAAGAGAAATCTCTTATCAGATCAAAACTTCGAGTCAGAACAAGAATCCAAGAAGAAAATATATAAGTCTGCAAATCTGATCGGAATATAATATGATCACTTTCACATGAGGATGTACTTTTCTCTCCGCAGAGTGTTTAGGGAGCTGGGTAGGGTACTATTTCCCCCCTCATTTTTCCCTCGTCATGGTGTCACTCATCGCTCACCAGAATGACAATCTTCCAGATCTATTTTTATATTGCTATTCCTCGTCACTTAAAAGTGTATATACCATGATATCATATCGTAATATAGGTCATGTTAGATGTCTTCCAATAACATAGAATGGGATTTAACACTGTTCAGTTTTGTTTATTCCTTCGCCCATATCGTTGTCTATTCAAACTCAGATATCAAACCATCCCAGAACTTATCACAACTTTATCAAAAGCAGCTTGTCGTCCCAGATAAGTAACTTAACAGATATCAGAAGTATGCATCAACTTTTAAAAACCATCTCATCTCATCTCATCGGGAAAAAAGTATACATACATACCAAGCACATGCACCGCACCATACAATAGTAATAAATCAACATTATCTAGACTCCTTTCACAACACACCAACGACATCTATCCTATATATTTTCCATTAAACACATCTACATCAGCTTTCAGGGGTCGTGGCCGTATGGTCATGGCGGGTAACTCTGTTGGTCACAGTTCCCTAACCCGGTGTTAATTGGAATCGGTGAAGCGTACTCATTCGTGGGTATCGCGGATGATTTTAGATTTTAGATTGTATTTTTTGTTCTTTGTTTGGGAGGGGGTTTTGGGAGGGTGAGGGAATGGAGTGGAATAGAGAGAAATGTATAATGGGATTTTCGTGAAAGTGAATCTCTTTTTGTGGGTTTGGTAGATGGAGATATACTGTGGGTGAAGAAATAGTGAAGTGAAGTGATCAAGTGAACCTCGATAACCCAACACCCTGAACACTTTTTCATGAGCAACGAGAGGATGTAGATACCATATCAATCCCAATGCCAACTCCGAATTACCAAATGAGGTCACAGATCAGATGAAATACAAAACGTTGTCTATCTTGCTCACTTGGTAGATACCTCATTCATATAACTCATATTCCGCAGTTATTACACACTAAGTATACGGATATACACAAGCCAAGCACGCAATAAAAACACACCAAACGAACAAAAAAATATAAAACCATTTCTCAAAGTATATTAAATAGATAGGAAGTGATGAACTTTCATCCACGTGAGTAGGGCAGAGTGGCCACTCCATTACTATTATCATCATAAATGTAGGTATCCGTATGATGCCCTTTGAATCTAGAAAACAAATCAACCATCTATCTATCTCCCCTCTCCCTCTCCCTCTCCCTCTCCCTCTCCCTCTCCCTCTAATTCCATGCCCATTCCCATTCCCTTACCCAATTCCCAATCCCAATTCCATATCAACCCCTACATACTACCTACCACTTCTCTGCCTCCTCCTCTACCTCCTCATCCCAGTAAGCGATATATATATATCCAGACCGGTCTCTACCCCTCAATTTGAAAATTGCTCCAAGATTAATGAAATTGATACACCTACCTACCTCCCTGTACACTAAACATCTTGGCACCAAACTCAAATTTAAACCACGGACTAGAAAAACACCCTCTGACATCATACATCTCATACTCAACCAAAACCAAAACCTTATCACATCCTAGAATCACCACATCACAATCACATATCAATCAATACATTCTCAAGACTTTAATTGAGTTGGTTTCATGTTTCATTCAACTATTCTATGAACCTATAGCAAGATACGTATCTACCAAAGTGTAAAAGTACCCAACCAAGATTGGGTTCCTCCACAACGTATAGGCGCGTGTATGTATAGGCACTTTGATAATCTTCGACCAGTAACTTTGTATGCGAGCTTTAAACAACCTCTGAACTTCATGTCAGTTCACTTCTCCTTGTCTTGCTCTTAACATCAGCTACCCATCCATGCATCATGAAACACAACTAAGCTTTGTAAAATGAAACGTCAATCAACAAATAAAGAGACCTCCCCAGAAGCTGCTATTCCCATGTGTGGTCACCCCGGTGATCTTCAAAAAAGTATTTCATCTCGATTGTTGCAAAATTGTCCCCGAAGATGAGTTGTCAAAGAAATGCAACATCCCTCCAGATTGGTACTTTGAGTGTCAATCACCCCCCTTCATTA